AGCAAAGGAAATAGAAACGTGAGGAATTCAGAGCTGGGTATGTTCAGATTCAAAGCTTTTGATCTTAGCAATGACTCTACTCTGCTTCTTTATCCTCAACATACAGAAAACAAAAAAGCGATTCAATGAGGGCTCTTCCTGTAGCTTTATAATAACCAAGGAGAGAGCAGATAGAATAAGAGGAGCCAGTTTGGAGTGCCGTTTTGGTTAGCCTCTAGGATAGGCACCCTAGGGGAATCAGAGCTAGAGTGGTTTAGTAATTTATAAAGATATTTAAAATGCCAATTGAAAGCGTCTCCCTGGCAGCCAGCTTTGCTGGGTTAGTATGGTGCAAGGCAGCTATGAAGGATACATGGAAAGGCACCTAAACATTTATTAAAATATTGGAAATCAAAGTACTATGCAAACGTTGGCAACAATTATTTCCAATCAGAGCTTGCTTGAGTTTTAAAGCTCAGTAAGTGACATGAGAGGAAAAAGAGCTCTATGATTTATCTTCAAACTATTTCTTTAAATGCCCTGGTCTAGTACCAGCTGTCCCTCAGCTCCTCACAATGAGAGTGGCTGTAAAAGAAAACTGTCAACATGAAAACATGATCAGAATAATAGCTGACTCAGCAAGGAGCAGACCCTTTTTAAACAGGATTAGACCATTGACTTTGGCTTTGTGTTCTGACCTTGGTCTCTCCCCATTCTAGGTAACAGGCCTTTGAAACTGTGTAACGATGGCTTTGAGAGAGACTTCAGAAAATGACAACTGTTCAGTGGATTGAACCACATTCAGCTAGCTAAAAAAAAAACCAAACTAAAGCAAAATCTTGCTCTGTTTGCTGCAATACAGAAGACTGAAAATATGAATTAGATGGAATAATGCACTTAGTTTTTCTTCCTTTGAAACTATAGTCTTGACTCTAAACAAACCTCTTCTCTTAATGTTAGTCAGTTCTGTCAAATGTCCAATCCAGACCCTCTGTAGAAGAGGATCCTCCCACCTCAGGGCCTTTGCACATGCTATTCCTATTATCTGGGAATCTTTGACCTCATTCCCATCCCATAGTCCTGGCTGGCAGCTGCTCCTGCTTTATGTCTCAGTTAAAGTACCCCTTGCACAGACCTCCAAGACTACTGTAGGTAGGCTGGTTCTATGTTCTCCTTGTACCCTGTAGCTAGACAGTACTTCTGGCAGGCAGAATAGCTGCCCCCCCCCCCTAAGATGTCCATGTCCATTCCCCAGGGCCTGGGAATAAAGGACTTTGCAGATGTGACTTAGCTAAGGATCTCGAGATGGGAAAATGATCCTGAATTATCCGGTGGGCCAAATGTAGTCCCAGAAGTCCTTATAAGTGAAAGGAGGCAAGAGAGTCATAGTCAGAGAGAGATCTGAAGATCCACACTCTGGCTTTCAGACAGAGAAGGGGCAAGAGCCACAGAATGCAGGTGGCCTCTAGGGGCGGGAAAAGACAAGAGAAATGGAGCCTTCCCTGGAGCTTCCAGAAGAAACAAAGCCCCTGCTGACAACTCGATCTTAGTCCAGTGAAACCCATTTCAGACTTCTGATGTCCATAATTACAAGAAGATATGAATAATTTTGGGTATCTTTAAGCCACTAAACTGTGATAATTTGTCACAGAAGCAGTAGGATACTAATACAGTACTTATTATACTTGAATTTATTTGTTCTGTCTTTTCTGTTCAACTATAAGCTCTATAAAAGTAGAGACCATGTCTTATCCACCTCCCTATCCTTAGCACCTAGCATTCCAGGTGGGGAGATTGTACGTGTAAAAGGAGTATTATGTACTCTGGATAATAGTTTTTTTTTAAAGATCTTAATATAAATATGTGTTTCATTAAAATGAGGAGAGGGAGAATCATTAGACAGATAATTCACTCTTAATTTTTTTCTGAGGCATGACCTGTTTTGTGACCCACTTCCCTAAGAGATGGATGAAAGGATATAACTAATTTTTGTATTAATTCCCAAACCTGGGTTTTAAAAAAACTCAGCTGAGCTTCCCAACACTCTGGTGCAGTAAAGGGGGAGATGACAGAAGTCGGGGGTGGGGGGGGTGACAAGGTAGTGAAGTGCAGGGAGAAACCGCGCTCCTCCAGGCTCCTGCCAGCGCAGTAAGAACCCCCGCCCTGGCCCGGAAAGCTTACTGGGCGCGTTACTGCCATCTGCTGGTCGAATTCAAACTGCAGACTTCGGGTCTTCATGTCTCTCAGATTCAGAACAGTACAATCGAAAATTACAGATTAACATTTTACATAGTAAATGTAGTATGAACGTTCATTTACTCCACACATCCTTGCCAACAAATGGTGTTTTAACTGTTTCCAAAATTGTAGTCATTTTTGTGGTTTTGTAGTGGTATCTCATGGTTTTGTTTTGCATTCTCATGACAAATAAGGTTGGGTACTTTTCACAGGTGCTTATTGGTCATTTGGGAACCCTGTTTTGAGGGATGGCTATGTGAATGTTTTGCTCATTTTTCTTTTGGGTTGTCTGTCTTTTCCTTATTGACTTTATGAGTTCTTTATTCTGAATAGGAATGCTTTGTCAGATATGTAAATATTTTTTTCTCATATTAAGGTCTGCCTTTTCATTCTTATAATGGGGTCTTTTGAGGTACAGAGTTCCCAATTTTAATGTAAATTTCAAATTTATACTTAATGTAAATGTACATAAGTGTAAATTTAATGGAAATTATAAAGTCCAATTTACTGATTTTTTCTTTTATGGTTCATTTTTTTTGGGTCTTAAGACCAAAACCAAAGTCATGTATATATTTCCCTATGTTATTGTCTAGAAACTTTATCATTTACCCTTTCACTTTTGTCACCCAGGCTGGATGCAGTGGTACAATCACAGATCATAGACTCCTGGCCTCAAGCAATCCTCCCACCTCAGCCTCATGAGTTGCTGCAACTATAGGCATGAGGCACTGTGCCCAGTCCCTTTAACATGTAGATCTACTATCTACCTAAAACTGATTTTGGGGTAAGTGTGACATGTAGGGGTCTTCATTTTTTTTTCCACTGGGATATTCAATTGACTGTCTAAAGAATAGCCTTTCCTCACTGCATTGCAGGTCACCACCTGTAGATCTGTTTCTAGACTCCACTAGTCATTTGTTTCATAGCCATGTATTTCTTTGCCATATATAATAATAAATACAACCTAAGCAATAATTATTATAATGATAATAGAAGTAAAGTTATTTTTTAAAGCCACAGGTTGCTTTGTCTATTGCTACTTCTAGCACACTCAGCAATGTGAAAGTGTCTTCATACAGTCTCCAGTGAGACTAATCTGGCTCTCGCTTTTAGAATTAAATATTAATGGGATTAACTTCGACGACTACTACTATACAGCTAACACTTAACACTGCGTTTACTATTTGCTAGGCACTCTTTTAAGCACCATACACACAGTAACTCACTTAATCTCCCCAATAACTCTATGAAGCAGGTACTACTAATCCCCTTTACCGATGAGTAAAGTTAATCACAATGCACCCAAATCGGCCATCTAGTTGAGTGTTTAACCAGGACGTGAACACAGGCCAGTCTGGCTCCAGAGTCTGTACTCTCAACCACTATCATTGGTGCCTCTCTTACGGGCAATAGGGCAGTGCATTTTCTTGCAGACAACATGCAACCAGGCAACAGGGAGTGTGAACACAGTCTCCTAGCCCCGGGACTATCAATCATTCCAGAGCAACAGGACTCTGGAAGATTCCCTCTTGCTCCTCTGTCCATTTGCTGTCTCTCTGGGGCACTGAAGTATTCATTTGAAGGCAGGCAGCACACATGATGGAGACACAGTTTGATGTAAAAACTATTAATGATGGTGACCCATTTTCCTTTTCAACCTCAACTCCCTCTCAAACCCTCGAATATACTGTTCTGTGTTCTTTTTTGTGATAATCAGGCGTGGCCACAAGGGCAAACACAAGCAAACAGTTGATTGTACTCACAAGTCCTAGAAACAGCAGGCCCAGCACTCTGCGCGCAGCCACATGGGAAAGCAGCTTCAGGAGGCAGAAGGGGCAGGATCGAGGGGCTGGCCCTAGGCCTTTATTGGCATTTCCGAGGACAAGGCAAGGCAGGGAAGGGTACACAGTTTGGGGTTGGCTAGTTTGAATAATTTCAGCATGCTGTAAACTATAGGGGTTGTCTCTAGCTGCCTGTTACCTGGCCCTGGGATGATTAAGGCAGAGGAATGTTGGCTCCCGTCATTTAAGGGCAGGGGAGCAGAAGTATGGCTCAGGATTGATTCATCTGCATATCAAAGAATGCTCCTCCTTTTGTATCTCTGAGAATTGGCTATCCCCAGAAGGGGCAACGGCTCACCAGCCAGGAAGATTTTTTAAGATGCCAGAATATAATACACAGAAAATTAAAACAATATAAACAGTACATGTACTCTGTATTCAAACTACCTATAGTGCCCCAAACTGCTATGTGCTCCTTCGTCTCTGAGCATATACTGTTCCTTCCTTGTTTGTATTTGTCTTTTTGTTTATCTTTACATTTTAGATCAAATACCACCTCTCTGAGGTCAAATCCCTAAAAACCTGGATGCAGAGTTAAAAGCTTTCCTTATGTCAAACTCTGGTGACTGTAGCATTTTTCATATTGCTGTAATTATTGGTTAATATACCTGCCTGTTTCTTCCACTAATTGTAAGAGCTTCCTGAGGGGCTGAGGTGTGGAAAGAGGTAGAAACATTGTTGGAATGAATGAATGAATGAATGAATGAAGTAACTGAAAGAAACCCTCCCTTCCAGAGACAATATTACACTATTCCCCTTTTTCTCCACACTGTATCATAAACTCTGTCTCCCACATTGGGGGATGAAAGCTCCTTCTTTGTCTTCCTGTACAATGCAAGTTTGTTACCTCTAGCTGGGCCCCTTCCTGGCTAGGCTAGGGTGGCTGCAGAAGAAGAAGGAAGGCTCAGAATTTTCACTGGTTATTTATTGAGATGAGTAATCAGAGCTTTAATATCATGGAATTAATTTATTATAAAGATAGAAAATATATTTTGAGGCAGATATTTTAAACCAAAAGTTATAAAAATTCCAGTGTTCATACTTTATTCAATGTGATAAGCATTTCTTTAAAAACTAATCCTTAGGTAAGCAAAGGGTATTATTTCCATTGTAGAGATTCAGAATGAAGCTCAAAGATACCAAATGACTTGGTTCAAGGTACCAAAGCTCATAAGTGAGAAGGGCAAAATTCTCATTTGAATACAGGGCATCTGTTACTAAATCTGAAGCATTTTCCATTAAGCCACACTGGTTCCTGTTCCCTAACTTAACATTTATTTCCCTTCAGCTTATGTTGGTCAATATTTATAGACAACAAAAAGGATACATGCTTCATACCTGCAAGCATTGAGTTAATGATCATTTTGAAAGCTCCTCAATGTAGGTAACCAGCAGAGTCTTCTCAAAAGAAAGTTAGTTGGGACAGCAGTGCCAGAGAAGTAAGTATTTATAAATCTCTCATAACAGAGGCACTGGGCTGCAGAGTATTTTAGGGGTCTTTATATTTCTAAAGAGGATATAAAGTACATAACAGCTTATAAAGAACCTCTCTAGGTTTTGTTTCATTATAAAATGATAAAAAAATATCGAATGTTTCTAGGTAATCAGTAAAATTAGGGATGTAAGATGCAAAGTACGGTGACTTGGTACTACAGGAATAGAAAAAAGATAATGCATCTAGTGTAGAATTATGCACATGACCATAAAATTTAAATTGTGGCAATGTGAACAAAGGAGCCAACAGTGTATGAAAATATGAACATGTTTTTTATATTATATTTTATGATTAGATAACCAAAATAAAAATATTGTACAAAATTAACTTAGAATGAATTTTTAAATGCTTTCTCTGTTTTCATTTATCAGCAAGTGAGCCAACTGATCCTGTATTTTGAAATTTACCATTTAAAATCATGTATACTAATATTAACTTTTCATATGTGGGATGACGGTTGTCATTCTTTCATATGCTTCTGAGTGGGTGATTTTAAAAATCCATGCCAGAATATTTATTTGTCTCTGCAGCTTGTATAGAGGTATTCCTGTACTGTGATCCTTCAGAAACTGGAGTTTCAAAGACGTATTAGCCTCCCTCTTTCTCCTTAGTCATCCTCCAGATTCAGGGAAATTATGGAAGATTCAACTTTGGCAATGACTGGAATAGTGCTATCTTCCCAAAGCCTAGTTCATGAGATATACATCAATCAAATAGAAAACAGAAATATCAAATGTTTTATTATATAGTTTCAATTGAGAAATATAAACAGTATTTACACAGCATTGCATTTTAAGTATTTATACATCATTAACATAGAAAGTAGTAAAAAATGTTGGTTTGCTTGAACTATGAGGGCCTTTCAACTATATGGTATACAATGAAAAGAATTATTAAAGAGTACACTGACAAAAAAAATCATATCATGGAAAACTATTAGCTACATGGCTCAGAATTATATTTTAGATCCTAATTTTTTCCATATTAAAAAAATATAAGCCTACTGACTTATGAAGCATAAGTTTGCTTTCAATAAATCACCATGTCAACATAACATGATAAATTTACAGTGTATTTTTTATTTAAAATCCTTAAACATAATTAAAGAGCAAAACTTTAGAGGAGTACTGTTAAAATAGTAAGAATGTACAAAAAACTATATTGGGAAAAACTTCACATATAATATCTTAACAAATGTAAACCCCATTAGAGATGTAAACACATTTCATGGAAAGAGTATACTGACCTACTAATATAAGTATACAACAAAGGAATGAATAGGTACCATTTCATAAGATGCCAAACAGGGTGAGCAATTATAATGAGGCAAACTGAGTCAACACTAATAGAATATAAAATTTCTAAGTACATTTGAAAATATCTTTCAACATTTATTTAATAATAAATATGTAAAACTTCATGAAAATATTGAACTAAAAACTAGTTTTGAACTTGGAATCAAATAATTTGTCAATGTGAAAAAAGGCAGGCAGATGCCAGCTTATAAAATGATCCACAGAGACAAATCATTTAAAAGTGTTATGTTGGAAACAGGTATTTTTTTGCTTCATTGTCAGTGCTAATTTATCACTTGGTGAATTAAATACCACACATAATGGGAAAATAATATTTCCTATTATAGCACATTATATATTTGCAAGTTATAAAAATAAATCTTTCCGCAGATAAAAAGAAAAAACAGAATAATCTGTATTACAAGTTTTTAAAAATATGGCAAACCCACCTGATATCATGACATTTTTTTGCCATGATTATACTGAGTCTTTCAGAATCTATTCAATAAATTAAATCAGAAATCTTTGATCTACCAATGTCTTGGATGCCAAATTCTTTTGTCCTGCTGTATTACGGATAAATCGAAAAATCTGGAAAATTAAAACGATTCAGAATGAAAATAGTTATTTAAAAAATTAAATATGCAAACCATTAAAATATCTAAATCAGCTAATTCTCTCAACTCTTTTCATATATCAGACATCTGAATTCCATGGTGATATACAAAATTATTTCAAGACTATTATCATCTTCTATAATATCAAAGCAGTATATGTTCCTATTTATAGTATATCTTTATGAATTAATAATATAAACCCTTTCATGTTCACAGGAATATGCGTTAAATAGTTAGAAAGGCAACTTTCTTCTAATGCTAAAAGCTATAGAAACATCAAAAGAATATACTTGTTAGGGACTTAATTTGTTCATAATTCTAGACTAATAAATCAAGGACTAATAAATTACATCTTACTGACTCAGATATACTTCCTTGACATAGTGGAGAATATTCAGGTGATATTAATAACACCATTTTAAGAAAAACAGATTTGCCATTTCTTGAAATCTCCATTTCAGGCTCCACACTTGTCCATGCAATTGTTTTTTATCTACACAGGCAGGGGAGGTATGAGTGTTTTAAGCTAAAGCGGCTTTTTGGTACTGACCCCTGAGCTAGCTCTCCAGTACTTGCTTTTTGTTACATTAACATCTGGTGGTGAAGGTGAACAGGACTCTAATCACTGGTCACTTTTAGCATCTAGAAGATTGGCAGTTAAGTGTCTTCCTACCAAATTCCCCTCATGTTTTCTCAAGCAACTTAGGTCTTCCACTAGACCCCAGTATTTCATTGATCCTAAAGAACAGAGTATAGAACGTGATTGGTTGAAATGTTATTTTTTTCTTTTGGTAGGGTTAGTTATATTCTAAGCCTTTACAAATTCCTAGTGAAAGTATATGTTGTTACTCTCTGCTATGAAAACAAATACCTACTTTCTACATACTTCTTTTAAAAGAAACCCAGAAAAATTTAAAAAATTTACCTCTTGCTGTAAGTATGTAAGAAAGGCTGCTAAAACAAAATTTTGGCAAGCCAAATCCACAACACAGAAGAATAGCAGATCAAAAATAAGAAGAGTGGCTTCATTTCCATAATACAGAACACTGCTGAAAGAATAACTTTCATCTATTAAAAAAATATATGACATATAAATTAGAAACTTAAAAATAGAACAAATCTATGATAAATTTCTGGTGATAAAATTTGTATATTTAAAAACAGCATATGAGAAACTAGTACTCCCTATAATACTTCAAGGCTTACACACAAAATAAACAAAAAGTATTAAGATTTGCTAATCTAGAAGAGGTTAGTCAAAGAACTCACAAAATCTCAAAAAAAAAAACAGTTTTACCATTAGGATCAAGGATTAGTAATTGGTAGTAGTATAAGTTTATAGTTCATACCTTTAAAGAACTATTAATATCCTTTCTCTATTTCTTTATATAACTAAGGCTAAATTAATCTTAGAAAGACTCTCTAAGTTTAAAAAAAAACTCAGCAAGGCATAGAATAGTACATAGTATTTTAGAATTGCTGTTTCAAATAGTCTCTAAGGTTTTGCTCTAAGACCTCTGCTCACTTTACAAGTGGGTTTTGTCTTTTTTGGGATGTGAATGCCCTTTTAAAAAGATTCTAATAAAGCTATAGACCCTTTCACTAGTAAAAAAAAAAATACAAATAATAATGAAAATAAAAATACAATAACAAAATATAAAAATAAAAATAATAAAAAATAAAAAAAATATATATATATAAATCTTGCAAACAGTTTCAGAGAGGTCCAGAGAGCCACTGAAGCCATCCACGGACCCTCAGTTAGGAACCTCTGTTTTACAAAAGGGGCCGTCTGGAGTGCTGGTAATAATGTTCTCTCTTGACAAGGGTACTAGTTACAAGGGTATATTCGGTTTGTGAAAATCACTGAGCTGTAAGTTATATCCTTATAAATTATGTACTTCTGTATGTATATCATACTTGTATATACAATTTAAAAAATAAACAAACCTATTTTACATGACCTTCCTGGGTGACCTTCTACTAACATTGCTCCAGCAATGACTGCATATGGTGACTCCCCAACTTATTGTGTGCCCTGACCTTCTCCTAAGATTTAGTCCTAGATGTCCAAAAGGTGACTCAAAATACAACACATTCAAAACTAAATTCATCCCCTCCCCCTCTAAACCTAGTCCTCCATCTGCATTCCATATCTCAGTAAAGGCATTACCACTAACCACTTAGTCACACAAGCCAGAAGTCGGGATAATTTTTGACTACTCTTTCTCTCCTACCTCTTTTTTCCTTTGACATCTCTGGCAATTCTTTCTTATTTATCCCCATTGCTACTGCCTAAGCTTACAGTCTCATCATCTCCTGCTGAAGATGAAGATAGACAAAGGCAAGAACATAGAAGCAGGAGGAAGATAGAATGAAAATAGAGGAAGATTGGAGGAGAAGGAAGAACAAAGGAAAAAAAAAAAGGAAGAAGAAAGAGAGGATGATTGCATTATTAGAAATAGTAACAATATCCCTTTATTGGATGTCTATCCATAACAGGTACTGTCCGAGGTTCTTTACACATGGTAATTTCACAAAACCTTTAGAGGGTGATACATAATTTTACAGAGAGGGCATTAAAGTTTAGAAAGATTAAGCAATTTTCTCAACTTCACAAAGCTAGTAAATGGTAAAGTGAGGTTTTTAAACAAAGACCTGAAGACTTTGAAAGCTATAACCATGATGACTAAGCTATATTGCTATAATCTTGCATCTCTTAAACTCAACCTTTACCCTACTGCCACAGTAATTCTTCTAATTTACAAATCAGATCTGCTTAGCACTTTTCAATGATATCCAAGTTAATTAGCAGTGGCTTCCAAATTGTTTTGATCATGTATCCCTATCAGAATAAAATGCTGAGCATGCAATGCCCAAACAGACACACTTTATTAATTACTACTCTATATAAATTTTTAAAAATGTATGTTAAGAAATGTATGATGATATAACAAATATATAAATAGACATTTTATTATTTTCTTCTCATATCTTCATGGATCAACTTACATAATCTTGTGGCACAAAAATTATTTCTTAATTATTTTTTGGAAACAACTGGTCTATAGAATAGAGTAAAACTCCTTAGGATGTAAGAAAAGGCCCTTGAATATTGTCTCTTTATCTTTCAAGCACTCTCTCTCACTCTGTGTCCCACTTCATACTAGACTTCAATCATTAAGTTCATAAATGCATAGTACAATCTGTACACTGTTTTTGAGTCCTCTCATCCCCTTCTACGTAGATGTCTTGGCCTCTCTCTTTTCCCTTGACCCTCCTGTTGACAAGTAGCTACTTATTTTTTAAAACCCAGCTTAAATTTCTTCATTTTCCTACTCTAGCTTCACCCTGTGTCTGGTTAGATTGTCTATCCTCCCTTCTGTCCTCAGCATAATCTGTAAGCCTGGCTTCTATTCTAGCACCACCTACTTACTCATTCACATGTCTATCTTCCACAGGCTACTAAACAAGATGCCTGAGGGAGGACCACTGGTTTGTATATCCTAGGACTGGCACAACATCTGGCATTCAAATGAATAAATCATATTTAGGGCAGGACATTGCTTATACCATTTCCATTCTTACCAACTCATACAACAAGTTATCAGTCCTATTACAAGTGATATAAATACTATCTTTTTATTGATAAGAAACCATTATTCCTGTCACAAATATCTGTAATTTTTAGGAACTTGAAAAAAGTTAGATGCTAAACATTAATTGCAAATGTTACTCTTATTTAAGTGTTTCAAAAGTTTGCCATTGAATGAACATTTCAATACAATATGAATTTTAGTATTTGTTTTACAATCTCTTCTATGTGTACTGTTGATTTTGAAATTTAGCTTTTCATACTTTCTTATAGCAGTTTCCTGCAACATGAAATGGAACACAGAAAACTATCATAATTCCATGAGGTTAACTGCATTCAGTATGTTTCCTTTGTTTTTATATAAAATTATTAAATCAAGGAAAAAATAACCACCAGCATTTTCCCCTACCCCAAAGTTGGAAACAGTAATCAAGTTTAGCAAAGGCATTTGAAATATACCATTGTAAAAGATGCTTTTTTCCATTGGTTCCATAAATTCCATTCCAAGAATTCTTTCAAGAAGCAATTTATCTTTTATAAAGTAGTCCATCTCCTTGTGAACCTAATATAAAAAGACAAAACTATTTCAAAAATAGCAGTGAAACAAATGCTTTCCAATTAATGTAAAATCAGCAGGAGGAAAAATGAAAAATGAATAGAAGATAAAGAAAATATGTTCTGCGAAAAGACTGAATTTGCTATACTGGGATTTATAACAAAATTCTCTTTAGGAATGTTTTAAATTTTAAATAGTATTAAATTTAAATAGTATATGGGGCTAGATATACTGAAAACCAATTTATAACAAGCTTTTCAGGAAGATAATCATAAGCATAACCTAAGAATTTCAATAATTAATAATACAGTATTATTTTGGTAACTGGCTAACAAAATTCCAGTATAGACATACTTTAAGGAAATTATTATTGTTAACACATATGTAAAATCTCATTTTACTTTTACATAACTTAACTCTATACCTAAGCCATAGTTTGTTAATGGCTAAAAATATCTTTCTAAAACATAATATTCCTAATTATTACATTTGACGGACATTTCCACTTAACTTTTTAAAAATTGCATTTGATTTTAGCTTAAATACAAATGTTAACATACATACATGATCAATGAAAGAGCCAAGAAATTTATTCATGGTATGATACGCTCTTACACTGTGCTCAAAAGTACTTGCTGATGAAGTCAGTAGTCTAGCTGGGCCATTTTTCTAATGTAAAAGGGAGAAACAAATAAATGCAACATGTCTTATGTTCTTAGTATTTAAATAACATTAAATATTGGCAAAATATACATGAACTGTACTTTATACAAACCCTCATTAGTGTCTCATGAATTCTGTCATAGTGTTGTCTCATCTGGCTAGAAATTGCAATCTGAAAAGTCTGACCATCCGTGTTGGGTACCAAACCTCTCTGGCTACACAAATTTTCCTGAAAAGTTAAAGAATTTAAATAAAGATCAAAATTATAAAAAATGTCCTATCTGAAAAAGAAAATACAGCATTTTTCTTTTAGCTGGTATCACCCATTACAAGATTCAGAAACTAAGTGAAATTTACTGAAACTATATCTGAGACAGAGATTCTAATATTATCCAATATTCCCACTCCCCTCTAGATTTTACTAATTTCTTCTTCATTTTAATTCATACTCCCCTGTAGGTCTTTATGTCATCTCCTTTACTCTGCTCTACTAAAAAAAAAATAAAAATAAAAAAGTATATATATCATACTAAGTCTATTATATATGGATATTCCTACCTTTTTATTAACCTTATTGCTCTTTAATATATACCAAAAGGCCTTGTCTTGGAATTAACTTGTTTTATAATTGTTGATAATCTGTTTTTGTCTTCTAAACCTTTTTGAAATGCTTCCTTAATTAATTCCCATAAAAAGGTAGTGATATATGACTGAACAGTTAATGTTATGGACCAGATATCCATTTTAGGTCTCCTTGACAAGACTTGAATCCTGACAACCACACCTATATAAAATATTCTGGATTTGATTGATGCTTCAAGGTTTGATTCCAGTTCTCTTGCCTATATGAAGCCTGTTTGTCTACTCCACAGCTTAATAAATATTCTCCTCCTTTGTCTAAACCAAACTTGCAAAACCCAATATGGCACTCGGCTTTCTACAGATTTAAAAGAAGAATACATGTAGTGAATGTCTATATTCTTAAAAATTACTTTTTTCTTGATTAAAAAAGTATATGCACCTATGCACAGTGGCTCATTCCTGTAATCCTAGCACTTTGGGAGGCCGGGGCAGGAGGATTGCTTGAGGTCAGGAGTTTGAGACCAGCCTGAGCAAGGGCAAGATCCTGTCTTTATAAAAAATAGAAAAAATTAGCTGGATGTGGTGGCATGTGCCTGTAGTCTCAGGTACTCATCAGGCTGAGGCAGGAGGATTGCTTAAGCCCATGAGTCTGAAGTTGCCGTGAGCTTTGATGACACCACTGTACTCTAGCCAAGGTGACAGAGTGAGATTCTGTCTCAAAAATTAAAAAAAATTAAAAAATTAAAAAAATACATGCCATTGCAGAGAATTTATAAAATATAGAGAAGTACTGAAAAGAAAAACATTGTCTATAATCTCAACATCCAGAGATACAGATATTTTAAGGAGTTTCATTACTGGTCCTTTTTCCAAGGCATATACAAATGGATAGCATAAAATTGGGATCACATTGATTTCTTTTTCACTTAACATTATATCATGAGCAATTCATCATGTCATTAAATATCCTATAAAATATGATTGTATATCTACTTAAGATTTCATTGGCAAATGTAAACCAATTTATATTCTCCAATTTTTATATATTTTTCCCTTACAAAAAATACCTGTGATGAAGATCCTGAATTTAATTAGCTGTTCATATTGGTAATTTTTTATGAAGTTAAATTAATGAAATCAATGAATCAAAGATCATGGACTCTTAAAAATCTCTTGGGGCCAGGTGTGGTGGCTCAAAGATGTAATCCCAGCACTTTGGGAAGCTAGGGGTGGTAGGGTGTTACTGCTTGAGCCCTGGAGTTAGAGACTAGCCTGGCAACAGCAAGATTCTGTCCCTACAAAAAAAACCTATAAAAATTAGCAGGTCGTGGTGGTGCGTGCTTATAGTTCCAGCTACTTGGGAAGCTGAGGAAGGAGGATCACTTGAACCCTCCAGGACTCCAAGGCTGCACCGAGCTATGACCGTGCCACTTTACTCCAGCCTGTGTGACACAGCGAGACCCTGTCTCAACAACAACAAAAAAATCTCTTGGTATATATTGCCCAAATGCTTTCCAGAAGGTCTGTAAAAGTTTATCTTGCTACCAATAGTTCTGTGGTTGCCCATTTCATGATTTCCTTGATGCTATTAAGTATTTTCTTTTCACTATTCTTTTAAAAAGATGGCTAATTTGAAGAGGAGAAAACCATTAAGTTTATATTAATTTCTTTGATTATTGTTTTAAAACATTTTTAGACATTTATTATCTCTTCTGATTCATTGTTTATTTAAAAAATATCTACTGGGCATTTTTCCACAAGCTTTTAATTTAGTGTTTTCTTATTAGTTTCTTCTTAGTTTTTTTATGACTTTCAATATTGTTATCAATATATTTGTCATGTTTGTTTATGAGTGTTTTACCCTAATTTGCTAACTTTTATTTATGATCGTTTGATATATTAATATACTAGATAAAAGTAAGGTCAATTAATATTCCCTTTTTGATGCTTTCTATTCTTCATGCTTAGAATGTCATCCCCTAATCTGAAATATTCTCTTATAGGTTCACTTATGGTTTCATTTTTTACATTTAATTTTTCAATCACAGGGTAATTTCTAATAGTTAACCAAGTGATACAGTTCAATGTATTAAATAAATTCTTCTCTGAGATGCCATCATCATGTATCAAATTATTTCAAGTCACAAGTATAGCCCCTTAATCACTAAATCCTCTTAGTTTTTCCTCTTAAGTATATCTTGTTCTTTTTAAAATTTCATTATCAAAGTTTTCAAAGGTACATTGTAGAGAGAATAGTAAACCAGTCATTGCCTAGCTTCAAAAATTACCAACATTTTCCCAATTTTATTTTATTTATCCACCCAACATTTTTTTCTTGGAGTATTTTAAAGCAAACCCCAGACTATGTCATTTCATCTGTAAATATTTCTATATGTATCTCTAATACTTTAAAAAAAAAAAACTACCATGCCATTTTTATATCTAACACAATGAATCATTCCTTAATATAATTTAACATTCATTTAATAGTTTATTAAACCTCCCAAATTTTTCCCAAAGATTTTTTTTTTTATAGTTGGTTTGTCTGAATTAGGATCCAAAGTATTAGGTTTGTTTCTTAAATCTCCAACAATGTAATAGTTCTTCCACCACCATCAACATCCCTCCTTTTCTTTTCATACCATGGATTTGTTTGGAGGCACTGAGTCATCTGTCCTGGGAGGCCTCTTACTCTCTAGATCTGGCTAATTACTTCCTATGTACTATTTAATTTGTCCCTTTTTCCTGTGTATTGCTTGTAAACTGGTGGTTAGGTCAAAAGGTTTGATTATATTCAGGTTCAATTTTCTTTTTTTTTTTATTTTGGCATATTATGGGGGTACAGATTTTAAGGTTTCAATAAATGCCCTTTCCCCCCCTCCCCCCACAAGTCTGAGTCTCCAGCATGACCATCCCCCAGATGGTGCACATCTCACTCATTATGTATGTATATACCCGCCTCCCTCCCCCCTCTCACCTGCCCAATACCCTATTACTGTAGTACCTATGTGTCCACTTAGGTGATGACGGCAGCCTACATTCATTAATACATTACAAAATGGTGATTTTCTGACTTAGAATTCCTTCTACTTTCTTTTATAAGGAAGAACTTTCCCTTGTAAATTATTTGGTTACTTCAAAATACAGTTCATATTGGAACTGCAAAATAAAATTAGATTCTTTCCCTTTATTAATAATATTCAAGGTACTGAGTTGGGACCCTAGAAACTTTCAAAAGCAATCAATGAGGATTTTTTAAAACATATTACAAATCCTAGAGTAAGAAAAGAGAACTCATCTCTCAACTTAAAAACAAAAAGGTGTAAAACATATTCATACCGCTTCTCTTTTAAGATTCATATTCATTTCTTCCATATTAGTATCTGAATGGCCATGTACTGATCTACCGTGAATGTAATATCCAAAACATCTGTGGGATAACAGAAACACTGATATCTATAAAAAGAGAAGAAAAGGGAATAATTAGCAACTCATCTGCAAACAATTTAAAAGATTAAATTTTTCTTAAAATTGCTTCTCTCCCAAAATAATGAAGATTGACTTCTTAGGAAATATATGAAGAGGATAATAAAATAATAAAGAATAATATGGGTATTTTTTAAAAAGTAAATGGAAAGGAGATTAAAGTTATTTTCCAAGAAATAGGGTTGATAAAAAATTTTCAGGTGCCCCAGTCTGAACGAACTTTTTAGCAGCATAAGAAATTCATAATTAAGAAACTGCAAATAAAGAAGAAAAACTAAGGGAGTAAGTATTAACTTGTAGCTCATTATAATTATCTCTGGAATTAACAACTGGTGGGAAATTAGACTAAAAATCCAATCATACCAAATCACTTTTAAAGCCTCTCTTAATGTACTCGTGACCTTTAAAAAGAGAAAAGTAACAGTTATAAGATAAAGTCAGGAAGTACTTACATTACTCATAGTGCATAAATCAACAAACTGTCGAATTTTATCTTCTATAAATCTCTCATAAAAGACAGCAAAGAACACGATCTGAAACATTAAGCCAAGTTTATGCTTATTAGCTTTTAGGATTTTAATTTTCTTTTATAGTCACAGTGTAGTATCTTAAGGAAAAAGAAGTTCTAACCAAGAACACAGTGGCCTCTGATGGTTCCTAAGGAATAAAATCCTACTTGTCATTTCTGATTCTTCTGTCAAAGGAAATAGGATTTTGCAATTGTGTTAAGAGGCACTAAGGAAGCCTATTTTGAATTTTGAAAATTTTCATGTGTCATTAAAATAAGGTAAGACAAACATGTGAGAAGAAACAAAAAATATTTAAAAAATTTAGTAGTCAGAATGTATGTTTGGTTTTGCAATTTTGTTCATCTCCTAAATTCCAAAAGTCATTAGAAAACTTTCTGATTTTCAGATTTTTTCTGACAGAATAACACATAAAAGTATTCTATTTCAACCATAGACAATGTGTTAAACATTCAAATGGAATGGCTTCAAGTGTTTTCTTAGATAGATTTAATAACAATACTAGAAAGGGAAATTTATAAATAAAAAAATTCACATTGTAGACCTTTTTAGATACATTTGCAAGAAAGATAACATAGCCTAAATCCTCCATTTAAAGATGTCCCTACTGATACCCATTCCTAACCTCCACTCCCCTCACCTCCCTTCTCTATCTCATGTCCCTGCTTCTTCATAGCACATTTCACAATCTGTAACTTGTTCTTGTTATATCACACCCATTAGCTCAGCACAGTGCCCAGTACATAAATTATACTAAAATATATGAATCAATAAAGAAATGAATCTACAGCAGCTGATTATTAAAAACACTTTCCTACACTCTCTGTATACATAGATTAAATCCCTTTAAAGGACATGAAAAATGGCAACACTCAAAGTTTAAAAGTTTAAAAAAATTCAAGGATACTACTGAAAAACTGAAGAAGCTTGGTTTAGGGAAATAAAAGGAGTGAACAACAAAAGCCTGACTTATTAGAATTAAGACGAGTTTAGACAAATTTATGAAACTATAACAGATTGTTAAAAGAACTCCCAGGGATATTTGAGAAATAGGCACTAATAATCTTAGAATACCACCAAGCTTTCCTATCAGACTGATAGTAAAGTGAGAAGCAAAGAATGAGGTTAGATGGTGGTGTCCAAGATTGCTAGTTGCTGTCCCAATGGTCCTTTCCCCTTTCTCCTTAGTAACAGGTCCCCCCTTTGAGCAGGACACACTGTTGCTCAGCTGAAAGATTCCAGTGCAGCTAGGTGTGGCCATGTGACTAAGTTCTAACCAAGGAGAGGTTGAATGGCACTTCTGAGAAAGCTCTTAAAGAGAAGGTGAGCTTGTCTCCCTTGACTACCTCCTGCAACTCCATCAGCCTGTTATGGACCATGAGGGGACCTTGCAGAGGGAAGTCCCATGTGGCAGAGCAGAAGGATAAGCTTCTAGGCCTTAGTGGCAGCAGTGAGCCACCATTCTAGCTCTATACTGCTAACCGTTGCCCTTCTTTTTCATGGGAAAGGAAAGTTCTCTTTTATTTCACCCACTTCTTTTGTGTTATTGCTGTTGTTGTTATATTCAACCAAATATGAAATAGCTTATCTGTCCCTATACTTATAGATAAACTAAACATGGAGTATGTCCTATGACTATAAAGTTGCAGTCTCTGAAAGACCCTTCCAAGTCCGCTATTGACAAGAATGTGAACTCTGAAATCAGGCTGCCTGGGTTCGAATTCCATTCTGTCAATTATGAGCTGCATGATTTTAGGCAATTATTTAACTTGCCTGAGCCTCAGTTTCCTCATCTGTAAAATGAGGATACTAACAGAACCTATTTGTGAGAGCTATTGTAAAGATTAGTAACTAATATGTACAAAGCAATTATAGTCACCCCTTGGCATGCAGGGGATTGGCTTCAGAACCCCTGAGTATACCAAAATCCATGCACTTGAGTCCTACAGTCAGTCCTACAGTCAGCCCTACAGTCAGACCCAACTATATGAAAAATCAGTCCTCTGTATACTTGGGTTTTGCATCCAGCAAATACTGTATTTTTGATCCATGTTTGTTGAAAAAGATCTGCATATAAGTGGGGACTCTTGCAGTTCAAGCTCATGTTGTTCAAGGGTCAACTGCAATTAATTAGCACAGTGCCTGAAACGTAACATGATATATAAGAACTGGCTGTTAGTTATTATTATTGCTGTTCTTGTCACTTTCTGCTACAGGAATCAGGATATGGTCAATATTTGAGGGTAATCGGTATGTAAGTAGAGTTCAAAGAGGCAATGTCACTTAAAAGTATAATCTCTTATTACCTGTATAATTCCAACGACTAGCCAAAGAGCAGCAGATACTGCATATCTCAAAATGCGGCTATCAGGAGCTATGTAGCTACGTGGGCTTCTAGAGAGACTAGAGGATAAGTCCATTAATGCTAAGTTCTTGAATCCCACAACCTGGAGTAAAAAAAATAATAATAATAATTTAAATACACAAGGATAAAGAAAACTCCTCTAAGGCAGGTGTGGTTGCTTATATCCATAATCCCAACACTTTGGGAGGCTGTGGGGGAAGGATTGTTTGAGCCCAGGAATTCAAGACCAGCCTGGACAACATAACAAGGCTTCATCTCTACAAAAAATTTAAAAATTAGCTAGATGTGGTGGCATGCACCTACAGCACTAGCTACTTTGGAGACTGAGACAGGAGGATCACTTGAGCCCTGGAGTTCAAGACTGCAGTGAGCTATGATGATACTGCTATACTTCAGCTTGGGTGACAGGGTGAGGCTCTGTCTCTAAAAAAAAAAAGTGAAAAAGAAAACTCTAGACTGAAAATGGAGCCCTCCTCTCTACTCCTCACCTTGAAAAACTAAAATATACAAGTTTGTACAAACAGTGGAAAATTCAGATAAAAATAATTATTATCCAGTATTTTAACTACAAAGTATTGATTGATTGATTGGTTGACTGATTGACAGGGTCTCACTTTGTCTCCCAGGCTGGAGTGCAGTTGTGTGATCACAGTTCACTGCAACCTCAAACTCCTGGGTATAAGTGATCTTCCTGTCTTAGCCTCCTAAGTAGCTGGGACTACAAGTGCAACTAATTGGTTTTCTTATTAATTTTTTTTGTAGAGATGGGGTCTTGCTATATTGCCCAGGCTGTTACAAAGTATTTATTACAAGCTATTTAGTTAGTGCATTTGGCATTCTTCTAGATATGATTAAGGTCCAAAGATAACCTTATCATACACACTGACAAAGCTCAAAAAATTCTGTCAAAAAGAATAAAACTTTCTTCAGTAAACTACCAATAAGTTAAACTAACAACATTTCATGAGCATTTAACATGTGCCAGGCACTAAACTAAATATTTTTAATATACAGTATATTTCAAAATGTCTTCTGGAGGACCCATTCTTTGATAATAGGAAGTCATGGTTTTTTGGGTTTTTTTTGAGACAGAGTCTCACTCTGTTGCCTGGGCTAGAGTGCCGTGGCCTCAGCCTAGCTCACAGCAACCTCAGACTCCTGCTCAAGCAATTCTTCTGCCTCAGCCTCCTGAGTAGCTGGGACTACAGGCATGTGCCACCATGCCCGGCTAATTTTTTCTATATATTTTTAGTTGGCCAATTAATTTCTTTCTATTTTTAGTAGAGACTGGAGTCTCGCTCTTGCTCAGGCTGGTTTCAGACTCCTGACCTTGAGCCATCCACCTACCTGGGCCTCCCAGAGTGCTAGGATTACAGGCGTGAGCCACCACCCGGCTGAAGTCATGGTTAAATACGTTTGGTCCGTCCATTAAATTTGCCTCCATCCTCCCACCCTTGTAGTATAAAGGCTCTGAGAAGTTTTATGGTAAATTATTCTATATGATTTTGTTGAATCCAGTGTTTTCAAACTTACTTGACTGCTAACTTTTGTTTCATGTAATACCTTTGAAAGCTTATGAAACTTGTAAAAAACAGTCCTACACAAAAAAATAAGTATATGAGGTATGTTACTTAGCCTGATTTAGCCATTCCACGATGTGTACATAATAAGAGTTAATAATTCATAGCTAATCTTAATTATGCAGATAATTCCTGGGAAAACCTATCACTCATATAAACAGTTTCCATGTTCAGTCTTACATTCAGTACTGAATACTTCCTGACATAATTCCAACCAAATCCATGAACTAAAACTGCAAATGTCATAAGCATGTTGTGTTTTGTTCAGTCCTTAGTAGATGTTCAATAGTTGGTTGAAAAATATCAACCTTATAATGGTAGTTCTAATGCAGGAAAGAATATGGATCATGGGGGAATGGGCTTTTTCAAAATACAGATACCTAGGCTCACCTTCAATCTGCTAAACTTCAATCTGAACATAAACTCTAAGGGTGAGGCCAAGCATGCGTAGTTTACAAAACCTCCCCAGGGGATTCTGATACAAACCAGCAGTTTAAAAGCTACTCCTTACATCTAGAGTGGTCAAGTTCATAGAGACAGAAAGTAGAATGGTGGTTGCCAGGGGTTTTGGGTAGAAAGTAATGAGTATAGAATTGTTTAATAGCTATAGAGTTTCAGTTTTGCAAGATGAAGAATTCTGGAGAAGGATGGTGGTCCATTACATGACAATGTGAATGTACTTAGCACTACTAAACTGTACATTTAAAAATAGTTAAGATGGTAAACTTTATGTTATGTATTTCATCACAATTTTTAAAAAGCCATTCCATTTTAACAGCTCGATGATATTTCAAACTTTAGAAAACCCTTCTACTTTCATGAAAACTTAGCTGGAATTATATTAATTTAACATTTATGAGGTACCCATAAATTGCATACAATTACATGAAAAAATATTTTATACCTCCAAAAAGAAGAGGACAGTAAGTACTTGAAAGAGTGAATTAATTTTTCTCACAGTCTGAATTTCATTCCATTCATTTGCTACAAAATATGTTCTCCATATGCTTACAGGAACAGTGGCACTCCGTACACCACCCTCACCTGATCGGGGAGATAAAATGAGTAAAAGAGTTTCACCTTCTTTGCTCTGCAAGGGTAGCAAAAGAATTTTGGTACAAATGTTTGTTTATTTTAGTTACCTTCAACAGCTTTAAGAACCTTTCCTTTAGGTCGCTCCCAATCAATAAAGAATATATCTATGGTAATCTGGGATATGAGTTTATGCAAAAATTGCAGTGCCTGAGAATGACATATAATAAAACACCTGAAAAGTATCAGCATAAAGCCTGCTTATGGAACCAATATCGATTCTTTAAGAAATATACTGTAATTACAGGAATATAGAATTCTTACAAGTGAATTCACTTGAAGTTTTAATACCTTTAGGAGATCATTAGAAGCACATCAAATAATGTAGAATTCACCAAATTCATAGAATTTTATATACATATTAATTTACATTCCCTTTCTCTCTTTAAAATAGTGATAAATAAAATAGTGATAAAATAGTGAAAAATCTAAGTATGGGATGATACCTTACCTCAAAGAGTTCCTAGTTCAGTGGGAAAAGCAGATGCCTAATTAATCACAGTGCAATGGGATGAGAACTACCAAAGAGGCCTGTAAAGAGCTACTTGTACATTGATGGAGGACACTGAAGGTGGGGAAGGGTGACCACAGGAACAAAGGAGGAAAGAAATATGGAGACAGGGAAAAAAACTTCTAAGGTTTCAGCACTTTATCCATAATGGTATCTTTCATCCTTGATTAACAGAGACAAAATTAATACCTAAAGGCATTGTGAATATATCATCAGTCTTTAAGGAACAAAGTTACACACTGAAATATTTATCAAATTAGCTATAACTTACATTAATCCATGGCTTCTTTGAAAAATTAAAGATAGATTTTCAGAATGAGCTATCTACTATAAATAAAGGTAGATTTCCTATGTAATATAAAATAAAATAACTTATGTCTTCTTTCAAAATTAAGGTAAATTTTATACCAAAATTTTTTAGAAAATATTTTAATTTTAAGGACTTATTAATTTATTAGCAGGCCTTTTAAATTTGGTAAAGCTGTCTTTTGAAACTTACCTTTAGAGCAAAAGCACATCCCACATAAGTAACAAAACGTTCTTCTTGAACTGTCATTGGTAGCAAAACAGAGACAGATGTCTGTGCCTGTAATAAAAATTACTTGGTTAAATATGATCACACAGGGTTTTGTGGGCTTTTTTGTTTTTTTTTCTTCAGAGATGGGGTCTCACCATGTTGCCCAGGCTGAACTTAAACCTGGGTTCAAGCAATCCTTTGGCCTCAGCCTCCCAAGTAGAACAAGGTTTTCACTAAGCACAATTTAGAAAGCATAAAAAAGGAAGATAGTGATGTACTCAATAAGCTCAGTGCACTCAGGTGAGGTTAGCACCTGGCTCAATACTTTCTTTTTTTCTTTTTTTTTAAGACACAGGTTGTCACCCAAGCTGGAGTGCAATGGCACGATCATAGCTCATTGTAAACTTGAACGTCTGGGTTCAGGCAATCTTCCTATCTCAGACTCCCAAGAAGCTAGGACTACAGGCATATGCCACCACATCCATCTAATCTTTTTATATTTTGTAGAGATGAGGTCTCGATACGTTGCCCAGGCTGATATCAAACTCTTGGCCTCAAGCAATTCTCCTGCCACAGCCTTCCAAAATGCTGGGATTACAGGCATGAATCACCGTGCCCAGATCAATACTCTTGATCAGAAATGCTCCCAAACAAAAATGGTTCCTTTATAAAGAGAGCTTACCAGTTATATAGGTATTGGTATTTAGGGTAAATTCAGAAACTCACTCACTTTGAAGAAAATAAGCCAATAAAGACCTGTTCCCACTGTGATGATAAAGAAAACATTGGCGAGATCACCAGCATAGTACAACAAGAATTTCATAACTGTCTGCAATTAAAAAAAAAGAATTATAGCTGTTAAAGACTCAATATCCACTTTTAGTAACACTATCACTTTTATATATCATCTACCCAGTTTCTCAAGCCTGAAGTCTTGTTTCATGTATCCATGTATCATTTAGTTATAAAGACCAACTGAGTCTCCCTCCTAGATACTTTCTGGATCCTTATCTTTCAGTCCATTTCCAGTAGCCCATGTCAATTTCAATCCTTCTCATCTTTCACTGTCTAAGAAAGTTGAACTGCTTCATAATTTTCTCTGAGTTGGAAACCCTCCACTCTAATCTCTCCTCCACACAACCATGAGAGTTAGTTTTCTAAAGTGTAAATTGGACTGTGTCACTCCACTTCTTAAAAATGTACAAATCCTCACTAACATATAAATTCCTGACCCACAAGGTCCTTTACAACATAGACCAAAATTAACTTTTTAGCCTCATCTGCCAGTTCCAGCCGCTTACTCAATGATTAACCACTCCACACTTTCATCTAAAATACTTCGTGGAATAAAATGGGCATTGTTTTTATCAAATATTCTTCCTTTCTTCTCTCTAGTAAACTCTCATGAGGCTCTAAAGGCACAGACCATGTCTGTCTTTCCTCACTACCACACCCCCAGTGTCTAGTAGAGTGCCAGGCACTTAAGACAGTAGGGCCGCAGTGACTACTGTGGAATGAACAGATAACCCCGCTATCTGTATCTGATAACTGGGTTATCTGATAACCCAGTTAAAGTACACTTCTCTGGAAGCCTTTCTTGACTATCCCAAATAGTAAGTCAAGGCCCCCTGCTCTGATTCCTTAGCACATTGACTTTGGAATCAGGAAAATACCCTGGTTAAACAAGTTACTATGTAGCCTTTTTTATGTTCTTTATCAGCAAAATGAAATACCTATTACAGAGCTGTTATAAAAATTAAATGAGTAGAAAATTTAACCCCTGCTTCAATTTCATCATGTGTAAAATGGGAATAATAATAATAATACCTAACTTTATAGAGCTATTGTGAGGATTAAATGAATTATATATGTGTAAAGCTTTAAAAAGTGCCAGGCACACAGTAAGTATGCAATAAAAGTTAGATAAAAAAATAAAAACATTTTAGGTGGAAACTAAACTCTAAGCACAGATCTTTGTTTTTTGCTAATGCTGTATGTACCCAATATTGAACTATATATAGATGATCAATAAAAGACTCTGGAAGTAAAAAAAAAGAAATAAAAATTAAAATTAAAAAAAAATTTTAAAGATTAAATGAAAGACAAAATTATAAAGTTAATACAATTAAATTGTGGAATATCTTTGAGATCTTGAAATAGGGAAGGTTTTCCTAAACAAGATCCTAAAAGTTATATACTGTAACATAAAAAAAAATTCAGATGCTACCACATCAAAATTAAAAGTTCCAAAAAAAAAAAATTAAAAGTTCCATTAAACAAAGGACCACATGGATAAAACTAACAGATGAGTCATATATTTGGGCATACATTTCAACATCAGAAACCGAAAAGGGTTTAACATTTTAAAAATACAAAAAACTCCTTCAAATAAACAAGAAAAACTAGAAACCTAATTTAAAAATAGGCAAAGGATACAATAAACAAGTAGTTCAAAGAAGGGAAAATCCAAATAATTAAAAAGTATATGAAGAGTAGTCAGAGAAATTAAAATGAAATCAACAATGACATACCACATATAACAATGACATGTACCATGAGATTGGCAAAAATAGAAAGGTTGGAAAAATATCAAGTGTTGGAGAAGACATACAGAAACAGGAACAGCACTGTTGGTGGGAGTGTAGACTGGGATACAGCACTGGGGGAAGTAATTATATCCTATGACCCAACAATACCTATTCTAATTACATACCCCATAAAAATTCAAGCCAACTTTCTTATTCATCCTCTAGCTGTGTTTTATGAGAAAGATCCAGAATAGTCAAAAGACAAAAATATTCTTTAAAAAGTCCTGAGAACATACCTGTAAATCAATCATGGGACTCCCAATGCGCCTCTTCCATGCTGCTGTCTTTAAAAGGGCTGCTAAAACAGCTAGCCCACCCAACACACCCAAAGCAATCTTAAAAAAAAGAAAAAGAACATTTTAGAATTTATGTAATTTCTCTCATCATTGTTCAAAAACACTGTAAATAGAAAGTAAAGATGTGCTCAAAAAATGGTGGTGAGGCATGTTGAAATGACCCAGGAGACAAGTTGGAGGAACTTCTAATGGCCAAATCTGGGACAATTTGAGCAAGAAAATAAATAGTAATTGATTATAGTCACTAGGATAAAATAAATATCCATGAGTTCACACTGATTTAAATAAATAATTGAATAAATAAATTACCGTGGGCAAAGAAAGAGTTCCTCTTTACAGTAGAGTTCCAATTAATAAATATAGAATGAATGAGAGAAATAGAAAATCACTATAAGGCAAATATCTCAGTAATACTTTTTGCAGGCAAGAATCATCAATGGATACTAAAATTAGAGGGCAAAAGAATGCTGAAAAGCAGGATGTCTGCATAATTTCAAAGTATCTCCCCATGAGATAGTTATTAATTACAAATGGAAAAATACAGTAGAGAACTCTGTAGACACCATTTTAGCCATCTGATAAAAGTTAACATCAGCAATAAGACAAACTGACATCATGTACCTCCTGATATGACACACTAAGAAGGGCGCAACATCACTTCTGTGGTGTCTTTGCCAAAACCACATGAACTCAATTTATTCATGGGAAAATGCCAGACAAACCCAAAGTGAGGACCAAAATAATTGACCAGTACTCTTCAAAAGTGTCAGGGTCATGAAAGACAAAGAAAGACTGAGAAACTGTCATAGACTGGAAGACACTAAGGAGACATGACAGCTAAAAGCAATATGTTACCCTGGATTGGATCTTGAAACAGAAAAAGGATAGTGAAAACAACCTGTGAAATTGAAATAGTATGTAAATTAGTTAATAGGACTATAGCAATATTAATTTCCTGATTATGATCATTATAGTAAGGTTATGTAAGATATTAACATTAAGAGAGGTTGAGGGAAAGGTACATGGCAAATCTATTTTGACAACTTTCCTATACATCTGAAATTATTATTTTTTAATTAAAAAACATAATGTAAATATTTTTAACAGGTTAAAATAAACTCACATCTGTCTGAACATGTGCTTCTCCTTGATTCATTTCATATTTGACTGAGAAAGAAACCTGATATTTAAGAAAAAACAAATTAACCATACTGAAAGTATACAACACAAACTCACTTTTATTATAAAAATACATTTGTAGCTGGATTTTACCACAACTGATATATTTTTAAACTACAAATATTATAAGAGTTGACTCTTATACATAAATAGATATGCTAATGAGATTTATCTGTGTGCTTTAAATATCTCTTTTGAACACATATTAAAAGAAGGGTTCATGAGGAGCTAAGTTAGGTTCAATAATAGCAGTTCAAGCCAAAATAACCATATTTCATTTTCTAATAGGTTTCTATAATTGAAGAAAGTGACTAAACTTATGTATTAAGAATTTCAGGCTGGGCATGGTGGCTCCCACCTGTGATCCCAGCACTTTGGGAGACAGAGGCAAGAGAATTGCTTGACACCAGGAGTTTAAGACTAGCCTGGGCAACATAGCAAGATTCCATCTCTACAAAAAATAAGAAAAACTAGCCAGGCGTCATTGCACACACCTATTGTCCCAGCTACTTAGGAGTTTGAGGCAAGAGGATCACTTGACCCAGGAATTTGAGACTGCAGTGAACTATCATTGTGCTACTGCCCCCCAGCCTGGGCAATAGAGTAAGACTCATCTCAAAATAAATAAATAAATAAATAAAAGTAGAAAAAGAAAAGAATTTAGCAACTGGCTAAACAAACATACCCTAACTAGGTAGATTAATCGAAAGTCTGAACAAAAACCTTAGGGATACCACTATTTTAAGAGACAAGAGAAAGAAGAACTAGTGAAGGGTCAGCGAAGAAGATTGTGAGAGGAGAGGCAAGATACCTAAGTCTTACGAGGGTCACAGAATAGGGAGTTTCAAGAAGGAGGAGAAGGTCAAGAGTACAGTGTCAAATGTTATATAAATGCTAAAGTAAAGAAATAAAGACACTATATGTGGAATTCATTGCTGACCTTCATGAAAGATGTTTTCAAAGAAGTAAAATGGCAAGAGCCAGATTGCAATTGATGAAAAAGTGGCTGGGAAATAAAGGAAAAAAATATGACAGCAAGCTGAGGAGCTGAAAGAATTGAGTAAAACATTTTTCAGTTGGATGTCTGAATTCGTTTTGAAGATAAAGCTACCTGACAGTTTTTATAAACAAAGGAAACTGACTTGCAGAGAGGCTGGCTGAATAAGGGGTTGGGGGAAACAGGATATTAGAGAAAGTACTGCAGACAAGTTTAGTCAGAGGATTAGTTTAGGAAAGCAGGGAACTTTCTTTCTTAAAAATAGAATAAGAGGCCGGGCGCGGTGGCTCACGTCTGTAATCCTAGCACTTTGGGAGGCCGAGGCGGGCAGATTGCTCAAGGTCAGGAGTTCAAAACCAGCCTGAGCAAGACCCCGTCTCTACCAAAAAAAAATAGAAAGAAATTAATTGACCAACTAAAAATATATATACAAAAAAATTAGCCGGGCATGGTGGCACATGCCTGTAGTCCCAGCTACTCGGGAGGCTGAGGCAGGAGGATCAGGAGGATCGCTTGAGCCCAGGAGTTTGAGGTTGCTGTGAGCGAGGCTGATGCCATGGCACTCACTCTAGCCTAGGGCAACAAAGTGAGACTCTGTCTCAAAAAAAAAAAAAAATAGAATAAGAAATGGGAAGGAAAATGAAACACAGGACTTCTTTAGTATTAAAGAGGAGATCTGGCTGGGTATGGTGACTCATGCCTATAATCCTAGCACTTTAGGAGGCTGAGGAAGGAGGAATGCTAGAGGCCAGGAGTTTTGAGGCTGGCCTGAGCAAGAGCAAGGCCTCACCTCTACAAAAAAATAGAAAAATTAGCTGGGCATGATGCTGCATGCCTGTAGTCCCAGTTACTCAGGAGGCTGAGGATTGTTTGAGCCCCAAAGTTGGAGGTTGCAGTGAGCTGTGACAGGTGACAGAGTGAGACCCTGTCTCAAAAAAAAAAAAAAATAAAGGAGGGAATTCCTATTAGATGGTCTTGATCTGCTCAGTAAAATAGGAAGTAAGGTTATTTGCTATTGGTAAGACAGCAGAGCCATAGATGGACGCTCAAAACTGATATACAATTTTTGTAACAGTTCCCATGAGAAATTAAGAAATGATAAAATAACTATCTTTTTTCTAATTAGGATGAAATGGACTTTATTAGTATAGTTTCATGACTCTCACAATCCTCTATTTGTTTTTTCCAATTTGTCAATACTTAGTTTGGAATATTTTAGACAATAATAATATTTAAAGGAAAGACCCAGAAGTGTTTTATAGTAAAATAAATATACTCTTGGTTGCCTATGAATACCACTCCAGAAAGTTTTAAGCCAGGCAGCCTTTTGTTGTTACTAAGCATGCTTCTAGATTTTCTTCTCTCATTATACACAAGCTCAGTCAATAGAAACTAATTTTAACATTGGAATAGGTAATAAAAATGAGAATGGGAAATCTTTAAGACAGAAGTTATACTAGGTGTTTAATTTTGCTTAATTAAAGTTTGAATCCCATAGCAAGTGAGTGCAAGTACAAACACAACAGAGAGGACAAAAGCATTGGATGAAGGAACTAGAATATTAAAATTCAGAAAAGTGTCTATGGCCATATCACCCTGAACGTGCCTGACAAATTGTCTTTTGATCATAATATAAACTGCTTAAGTAATATGCTGTATTTATACACATAAGGGCACTGATTAGTAAAGAACTCACCTCCACAGACTGACTCTTAGGATCTTTGATATCAATGTCACGGTAGGCAATAGTGATTAAGGGAGGGTAGATGTTTCCATTTTTTGTGTTAGGTACAAGGTTGATGCTATTTAAAAGAAAATATATTTAGAGTGATAAGTATATCTAAGCCCTTAAACACATATTTAGTTTACCATTTCTTTTGAATTTAATATGAATTACCTTGATGGTCTCAGAACCAACCAGTTATAAACTAGAGAAGAGTAAACATAATCTAATGATAACAACACAAGCTATCTTAAGCAGTCAAAATAATATTAAAATATACCCTCTGAGATAAATTAGAAACTCTTTTGATCCAGGCCTTATGAAGTTTACAAGTGAAATCACTGAAGCACTCAAACCATCTTTGAGTAATAATCAAAGTTGCAGTGCTACATAAAGCTTAAAGACAGGCAGATATAATCCTGATTTTCAAAAGAGAAAGATGGATTCTTAACAAAATCTATCAGATATAATATTGTTTATGGCACATAGTGAAGTACATTTTGCCAAAATCAATGCATTAGGACTGTATAGTTTGTGGACACAAAAAGGAAAGTGCCAATCACTAGGGGCCAATATGGTTACAACAAGAACATGTCAAGCCTGAGGAGGTTTGATTTCATTTTTACTAGGGATACCACATTAGCAGATTGAGGGAATACTAAAATCACGGTACATGTGGATTCCTATAAGATACCTAACAAAGTTTCTGTACTGCCTACCTCATAAGATTATGTGAGACTCAAAATGAAATAACGGTGAAAAATGCATATTTAAGTGCTTCAAAGTATAATATAAATCTAATATAATATAAGATGATGGTGTTGATTTTCATCAGTGTATTCAAGGTGTACATCATAAAATATTAGAGTAGGAAAGTCAGTTAAGATCTTAGAGATCCCACTCTGGAAAAGATAGCACGGTATTACCCTAAGGTAGGCTCATAGTTAATGTATCATAGGAAGAGGAAGGTGTTGATAATTAATCTGGGTAAACTTAGAACAAAAGCTATAAAAGGAAATGAGGACAGGGGAGCCCTTACTATTAACAATCATCTGGCAGGCTCTTCCAGCTCACTGGTATTCACCTTTCCTACACCTCTCAACCCATTCTAATTCAGCAGCTCTAGAGTGAGGCCTACAATGTGAATTTTTACCAAATTCTTCACACTCTTCTGATATAAATCCCCCCTTGGCCCTTCACTTTTATTGGTCTATGCCAATCTACGCAAATAACTAAAAAACCTTATCACCTATTCCAATTCAGTTGTCCTTATAGTTTTCATTTGATAATTACTGGCAAACACTTTCATTATGACATTTTCCCGTATACTCCAAGTCATTAGACATTTGTTTACCTCAGTGATATTTGAGTAGCAATTCGAATTACTTTTGGCTGACTTCCTAAGTCATTTTCTCGTCCACTTATTGCATCCACTAAGAAAATGCGCCGAGTCAGAAGCCACATGCCAGTGCTACTGTCTTTTATTATAAAAAGAAAAAATAAGATGGCATTAAAAAACTACCCACAAATTGTTCAAGACAGTTCTCAAGAAGTTTACTGGACACATTTAAAATATAAAATTAGTATTTATTTATTTATTTATTTATTTATTTATTTATTTATTTATTTATTTATTTATGATAAGATGGCTACAGCAAAAAGTTACTGCTATAAGAATTTTTTTTTTGAGACAGAGTTTCACTCTGTTGCCCAGGCTAGAGTGCTGTGGCATCAGCCTAGCTCACAGCAACCTCAAACTCCTGGGCTTGAGTGATCCTCCTGCCTCAGCCTCCCATGTAGCTGGGACTACAGGCACATGACACTCCACCCAGCTAATTTTTTCAATTTTAGTTGCCCAGCTAGTTTTTTTCTTTTCTTGTTTTTCTTTTTCTTTTTTTTTATAGTAGAGATGGGATCTCACTCTTGCTCAGGCCTCCAACTCCTGACCTTAAGCAATCAGCCATGAGCCATCGTGCCCAGCCTGCTATAAGAATTTGATAATGGTCTTCTCCACCTCACTTGAATGCCTCTGATTGTTTGAACTTTTCATCAACTTGGAAGGCTTTTCCCTACAAATTACCTGAAAAAGCAGGATTTTATAACATGAATAACAACAAAAGAAACTAATTTATCCAAAAAAACCAGATAGAGGACAGCTTGAAGAAAAAGCCCTAATTTATAATTCTACTAATTTTTCTCAGGATATATACTCTTAACAACACTATAATTTATTTTTTCAGAGACAGGGTCTTACTCTGTCATCCAGACTGGAGTGCAGTGGTTGGGTCATAGCTCACTGCAGCCTCAAACTCCTGTGCTCAAGTGGTCTTTCCACCTCAGCCTCCTGAGTAGCTAGGACTACAAGCACCATGTGTGGCTAATTTATTTATTTATTTTTGTGGAGATGGGGTCTCATATGTCACCTAGGCTGTTCTCAAACTCCTAGCCTCAAGGAATCCTCTTACCTCGGCCTCCCAAATCCTGGGACTAGAGGCCTAATTTCTTTATAATATGCCTGATAAAAAAATTAGTAAAAATTTCTAAGTACATTACCAATTTATTGTTTTACTTTTTGGCATGCCATATAAAATCATATAATAAGAGAGAATTCATGATCCTCCTTATAATCAATGATTTATTTAATTATCATGTATTTGACTTGTTTATTGACTTCAGCTCAGAGAAAGAATGGTATATATGGATGTCTTACCTTGGTTCACAAATCTTTTATTATGTTGAAGATTTAGGTTTAACACAGGCACAGCCCAAATATATTGGTGTTGGTTTTCATCAGTATATTCAAGGTACACATCATAAAATATAGGAGTGGGAAAGTCGGTTAAGATCTTAGAAATAGGAATCTCACACTAGAAAATAAAATTAAAAATAAAAACATCACAATTTAAAATTAGAAAGTATATTTATTATCTTTAAAAGAGAGTTTTGCTAATTGTGCAAAATAAAATCTTTAAACTATCTAGTTTACATGCATTTCCACGTGCCTTCTAAAATATGAATTATCTAATAAGATAATTCAATCAAATATGATTATCTAATAAGATAATCAAATATGATTATCTAATAAGAGCCAAAAAAGCTAACAGTAAAGAACTGCTTTGTTCTTGGCCTACAACCCAGATGGAGAAGATATGACTTCATTCTCAACATTAAGTGCACATCAGTGAAAATGTTTAAAAACTACTGTCCTATGGGATAAACTCCCAATTCTTTCTCCTGATATACAATGATGTCTATGATCTGGCTCCCTCTAACAGAGCCAGGCTTATCTCCCAGTGCTCCCTACCAGGCTATGGTGGTCTATTCATACTAATCTATTTCTAGTTCCTAAATGCTATTCTATGTCACTCTGATATTGAAAATGTGGTTTCTGCCTAATTAATGTTCCCTTCCCAACTGTGTTCTCCTGGCAAACTCATATTCATTATACAAGCCCAAGTATCACTATGTGAAGCCTTTCTGTACTTCCCCAGGAACTGGTACCTTGTACATACCTATAGAATAATACATCACGTTCTTTGCAATTCTTTGTCTATATAGCTTTCCTTCTAGGCTATGAACTACTTGAGAGGCAGCCAGGTTCAATGGAATAACCATGGTTTTTAAACCTAACAGAACATTGGCTCCATAATTTATTTGATGCATGACTTTGAGTAGATTACCTAATCTTACTGGACATAATTTCCTCACCTGTAAGGCATAGATAGCATATATCTCACATAGTTATTTTACGGATCAAATGGGATAATAATGATAAAATGCTGAGCACACAGCAGCAGGTATTAATAAGTGTTACTCCTTTTGGCTCATGTTAGATGTACAATATCATTTATTTATTTTTTAAAAGTAACATATAAGTGATTTCTGACAAACTAAGTAAATTTATGTTCATGTTAGAAAATTTGGAAAATACAAAAAAGAAAATAAAAAATCATCTCTCATCCCACCATCCAGAGATAACCACTGTTAAAAATGTTTGTTGTCTTCCAATCTGTTTTCCATAATGGTATTTTTTATTGTGGTTTTGTTCTATGATAGGTGTCTAAATACATTTTTCTCAGGAAGCATTTTTATAGACTCCTGAATGTCTTTCAAATATTTAATGTCTCATAATATTCCTTTGTACCATACTATAATTTCAAAATGGGTTGCCAAAGTAAAGAAGGTCAGAGCAGGAAGGAGAGAAAAAGTATGAAGGGAGAAAAAAAGGAAGCATTTTTATTTGTTATTGGGGGACAGAATAAGAAGGGAGTAATGTTATTATTCACCACAAAAATAAAGTAGTATTTTTACTTTATTCTAAAATGCTCAGTAGTGGGCATTACTTTTTAAGACTTATAAGCCTAGAAGCAGATAAATAATTGACTGTGAAAATTATGTTTAACATTCTAAAATAACAAGGTACTCTCTTCATGCTGATTAAATTAAGATTTTCTGTGCCCACATAAATTATATTAATTAATGAAATTATTCATTACTATTAAAACATTTCTAATTTCAAAATTTTTAAATATTCCAATTATTGCTCATGTGATATTTTAAAAAATAAAGCTAAAATATAGACTAATATAGTCCAAACTTACATTTTGTTGATACGTGGTTCCAAAAGAATAAGCAGCATTTAGCCTTGTCTCTGTGTCTGGACAAAGCTATAGCAAAAGAACATAACTGATTAATATCCCCCACAAATGTTTTCTTTGTTTTCAGTCAAGAGTTCTCAAGCTCCCACATGGATATATGCTCTACATAATACTTATTTCATGTATCAAGGATATAAAAATTTAAGGGAGCATCTTTGTTATAAATTAAAATTATAACTTAAAGACCAGTTTTAAGAAATTCCAATTTAAAGCACCAGAAAAAAATCAGCTGTAGTATGTAACTGATGCTCCATTCAAGCAATAATTTAGTCTTTTCCTCTTGTCTTTGCCTCTAGCAAAAATAAGGCTCCTTACTAATTCCTTAGGTAGAATCATGCTTACCTGTAAAATACCTCCTTCTAAAGTTTGCCACTTGAGAAAATTGCCTCTTATATCATAGGAAGCAGCAACAAACTTCAGTTTTGTATTCTGATTAAAGAAAACAAGAATAAAATAATGTCAAATACTCTGAAAGTAATATAATATTCTACAAAGAAATTTTCACTGTTGACTAATCCTTTCTTTTTCATTGTTGACTAATCTTTATTGTTGAAAAATTAAATTCAACTATCTTTATTTTGAAGCTTAATTAATCTAACTATTCCTATGATTAAATATACCTTAAAAAGCTGGACTGGTTTTTTTGCATGAAAATTATTATTTTAGAATTGAGAGGAAGCATTAGTGACAGATAATCTCCTTTCAAACCTATTAAATGGGGGCTGAGGGCAGAGGAATGATCTTACTTCTTCATTCTAGAAGGTCAGAAAGAGGTGGGAATTTGGACCTGTGAAGTGCTGAGCAACATCATGGAGCCCCAATCCCTTCTTTAAAATATGGGAATTCAGAAGGAATTTCAGAAGGAAATTCAGAAAGAGACTGTTTTGCCTTTGGTGATGAAAACTATTCTTCCCAACCCCACTAGTACCACTTGCTGCCATAATCACATTATCCAGAGGTATTCATATACTCAAGTAAGACAGCTAAACTCTATACTGTTTAGTTCCTATAAGCTGCTGATATTTATATTTAGTTCAAAAACTAAATTTATAAAAACCTAATAAAGCAAGAATTGTAACTAATAACTTTATTATTACCTTTTAAAATTGTAAATCAAAATGTAGTTATCCTCTAATGATATAGAGACTTGTACCTGGTTTTCCCCTTTAAAACTGAAATTTGTAGGAAGAGGGGTAGTAGTGAGTATTTGAGGTGCTAATCCTAGCTGGTCTCCATAAAACAGCCATGGAAGATTCTGCCTCCTATAAACAATTAAAATTGTTTTAATAACGGGAAAAAATATTTACAAATAAAACTGCACTGAATTCAGTCAAAATGACATTTTAACAATCAAAATATCCTTACCAAAATGAAATAGAATGAACAGTGCTCAGTGAAGCAGTATTCTCAAAGATAAACTGAAACAGTCGACATGCATCACATGTGGCAGAATCATAAGAATTCATGTTCATCACACACATATTTCCAAGAACTTGGCAAGATGTTAGATTAGCATTCATCTACAAAAGAAAAATGGCAAAGAAATGTAACATGGACCTGAACAATCTAAACAAATGTTGTTACAAAAATTATGCTTTGTTTTAATTTACCTATTCTACTAGTTGTTTATTGTTCTTTTGCTTTTTTTTTTTTTTTTGAGACAGAGTCTCACTCTGTTGACCAGGCTAGAGTGCTGTGGCATCAGCCTGGCTCACAGCAACCTCAAACTCCTGGGCTCAAGCAATCCAAGCAATCTTACTGCTTCAGCCTCCTGAGTAGCTGGGACTACAGGCATGCGCCACCATGCCTGGCTAATTTTATATATATATATATATTTGTTTTTAGTTGTCCAGATAATTTCTTTCTATTTTTTTGGTAGAGACAGGGTCTCACTCTTGCTCAGGCTGGTCTTGAACTCCTGAGCTCAAGCGATCCACCTGCCTTGGCCTCCTAGAGTGCTAGGATTACCCATGTGAGCCACCATGTCCGGTCTATTCTTTTGCTTTTTAAAACATTTTTTTTTTTTTGCTAGAAAAAAGAAACAATTCCTCTAGCTTAAGTAGAAAAGAAACTTTCCATATGAGAAGAGAAATGAGTACATTTCAATTATAAATTTTCTGCTAAAATATAAAGATAAGTGAAAGAAGAACTAAGTAAAATGTATAGCATGACATTTAAAAAACTATTAACTAGAATATTTATATTTGAAAGAATAATTTGTGTATTAGATGTTACACATATACGTCTAATTTATTTTGTTTAAGTAAACTGCTTTATGAAAACAAAGTAAGATCATTTGTTGAATTTGCCTCTCAACCTTTTTTTTCAATTTTCCCTCTAAGGCAATTCCATTTTTATAGTAATTCAGGTCAAAATTTTGGAGTGAACTTTTTTCCTCTCCTTCTCATATCCAAGTCATCAGTGAATCCTGTTGGCTCAATCTTCAAAGTACAGCCAGAAGCTAAAACCTTCTTCATTTTCATGGTACCACCCTTGTCTACGGTTCTGCTATCTCTAACTCAGATTGCTCTAATACTCTCTAAATGGTTTCCCTGCTCATGTTCTTAGCCCAACAAATTCTATTCTCCATGCTACAGCAACCTTTTAAAACCTGAAGTTCCATCATGTCTTCCTTTGCACAAAATCCTTCTACTTCCCTCAGGATAAGTCCCAGGTCCTCACCATAGCCACTCCCTACATCCCTGACCTCTCCTCCACTCCGCTGTCCCTGCTCACTCTGCTCTAGCCACTCCAGCCTCCTGCCTGTATCTTGAGCATGCATAAGCCAGTGAACTTGTGCCCTGGGACCTCTGTTCCTGCTGTGGTCTCTGCTTAGAACACTCTTCCCCTAAATATTTACATGGCTCACTCTAACTTCTTTCAGGTCTTTGCTCAAATATCACCTTCTCAGAGATGTCTGTCCTGACCATTCTATATAAAATATTATAGGAACCCTTGCCCCTCTATGTTCTTTACTCCAAATTATTTGCCTTCATAGCACTTAGTACAAACTGACATTTATTCAGACTGTATCTCCATGGGGTATTTTTTTTTTTCTGTCTTTTTCTGAAATATCTAATCTGATTTGAGAACTGGGCCTGGCACACAGCAAGTCATTAATAAACATTTACTAAATGACAGTTTCCTCTAAAACTCAATTTCAGTTAAAAAAGCCTGAAGACCTTCAATCTGTGCATACTGAATACCATTTTCTTTATGTATTCTCTTTCAATGCACTGGAAAGAGCTAAGGAGATATATCTACTCAGAGAGAAAACTTTTTTATTATCTGGTAAAAAATGATACCACAATTCTTTAAAATGAAATTAATTATTTTTTAAAAATTCAAACTTACCTGACATGCAATTGCTGATGATTGCAAATACTTTGCAAACCATTCTGAAGTTAAGGACATGCCCTGTAAACAAAAAGATGCATTTCAGTTTTAAGTTCAAATGAAGATTCCCTAGCCCCACACTGTTAGGAAGACCTTAATATGCATATTGTTGAATGGGAAATGTCAAACCTTACTTTCTCAATGTTAGCAGAAAAATAGATTCTAACAGGAATGTAAGAATTAATTCTAACCTATGTCAGTTATTACAAATAGGACTACATTACAAAATAATGACACTTGGGCAAAATATGTAAGCAGACAATATGTGCCTATGATCTAAAAATACTATATGCCCATTTCACTAATACAAAAAATAAAGTGACAAAAAAAGAAAAGAAAAATATTAATAATTCTGACGGCAGAGTAGTTAATATTTGCTGATTTAGGATTATTACAAATACTATACTAAATTGGCAAGTAATAAACAAATTTTGAGGAATGATTTCAAATCTCCAAAGTGCTGCTTCTCAATGGTGGGCATCACAATCACCTGTGGCACTTTCAAGAAACAGAAAATGCCTGGCTTCGTTCCAAACCAAAATGAATCAGAATCTCCAGATGAGACCAATGCATACATGGGTTTTGAAAGCTGTAGTTACATATCTCTGGCTAAGAACCACTGCTTTAAAGCTTATCTGTACATCTTACTGAAATATGAGGCACTGAGAAGCACCATTGAGTAAATCATCTGGACACAGACAGAAAACATACGACAAAGTTCCATGGAATACGGTACTAGAATGATCAGAGAAATCTAAAATAAAATTGTGAGGTATTATTTTCATCTCTTCAATAAGCAAAACGTATCATTTTGTAAGAAAAAATATATGCACAGAAGAAGGCTAAAGATCACATATACAAAAACTGCTAAAAATAGAAAGCAATGGCAATAGTATTGGCAAATCTATGTAAAATGGAGCCACATATAATGTTAGTGATAGTGTGAAAGTTGCACAATACTTTTATAAAGCAATATCCACACACTCTAACCCAGGAATTTAGAAACACTTGAGAAATTTATCTTAAGGCAATAAGCCCTCCAAATGGGAAAACATTTATGTTTATAAAAAGGTTGACAGCAATATTATTAATAACTGAAAACCTCAATATTCACTGGAAGTACAATTATATAAATTTCAGTACATAAACTAGAGTGTTTTGTAACCATTAAAAATTATAATTATACAAAAGTGAGCCTGGAACATGGTACAGAGAAACCAAGCAAGTGCCTAAAGCCTAATGAAATCATGTCAAAACAACACAGGAGCTATCTTGAAGGCAAGTGCAAATTTGGTACAACTTAAGCTTCAAAAACAAGAATAACAGTAACAGATTATAATATAATGTATAGACAAAGATTCCATGAGTTTACAATAAGGCTTTAAAAAAAAAAAAAAAAGAAAAAGCACAGAGAAAAAAGGATGGTGTTCTTTACAGAAGAGTGATAGCTAATAAATGTAGAGGAAATACAGAACTGTGAAATCATTAGAAATGATTAGTTCAATAATTTATTAAAGCAAGATTCATTATTGGATGCTGAAATGCATATTTACATACTCTCACAGTAAATCTGAGACTAATTATTAATCACTGTACCTTTATAAGAGAGAGAAGTGGCAGACACAACACATATGACTACACAATCCAATTCGGCATCATCAATAAGTGGATGACCTGACATTATGCGCTCCTTGTTGTGATGCAATGGGCTGTATGCAACCCTATATAATATTCTTGTAAAAAGATGTTTCACTGAGTCTAATCATGAAAAAACAATCATAAAAATGCAGGGTGGGTGGGGGGAAATCACAAAAACAAAGTGAAGCAGGGATCTGTTCTAGATTAGGGCTGAGGCAGGAGAAGTATAAGATGAGCAGGGAAATCTTGTGCCATAAAGTAAGGAAATGCTCAAAGAATAATGGGGACATGTCAAAAAAAAACCACAACAGGCACTAACTTGAAGGAACTTCTACTGGCCCAATCTAGAACTATTTAAGCATCAAAACAAATAATGCAGCCGGGTGCGGTGGCTCACGCCTGTAATCCTTGCACTCTGGGAGGCTGAGGCGGGCGGATTGCTCAAGGTCAGGAGTTCGAAACCAGCCTGAGCAAGAGCAAGACCCCGTCTCTACTATAAATAGAAAGAAATTAATTGGCCAACTAATATATATATATAAAATTAGCCGGGCATGGTGGCGCATGCCTGTAGTCCCAGCTACTCGGGAGGCTGAGGCAGAAGGATTGCTTGAGCCCAGGAGTTTGAGGTTGCTGTGAGGTAGGCTGACGCCACGGCACTCACTCTAGCCTGGTCAACAAGCGAGACTCTGTCTCAAAAAAAACACAAAAAACAAATAATGCATGTATTGGTTTATAACCAGTTGAATAAAATAGGAACCCACAAGTCCATACTGACATTAATAAATAAAAAAATAAATATATAAGTGGGGGAGAAGGAAAAGTTCTTCCTTACAACAGAATGTCAATAAACGTAGAAGAAATCAAATATGGATAGAAATCAAAAATTAACCTTTGGCAACCATCACACAGTAGTCGTTGATGAAAACAAGCATCATCAATGGAGACCAAAGCTATAAGGGTGAGGAAGAGGAAATGTAATCTTAGAAATAATGGAAAATGGTAACTTTATGGTAGTCATGGTGACTTTAGGGCAAGTGGTCAAGGTTAGCATTATCAGTGGTGGGCCAGGCGGACACTATGTGCCCCTGATGTGATGCAATGTACTGAAAAGATCACAACTTTTTTGTGTGTGTGGCTTTCTGCCAAGCCTGTACTGAGTATGAGGAAAGACTGGATGGAGCCAGGCTAAGGGTCATCCTATACATGGTAAGCCCTATAATCTTCAAAACTGTTGCATTCATGAAAGACAGGAAAACTGAGGACCTGTTCCAGATTGAAGGAGACTAAAGGAACATGACCTCTAAATGATTGACAACGTCAGACCAGATAGGAAAAAGAGAGATCACTGGGACTTTTGGCAAAATTATTTCAACTTAAATTATTTGAAAAAGGAAAAAGAATTGATAATCAGATATAGACATTCACTACAACCTAAAAGACTGGGGAAGACAGAAGACATGCATCTTGTTATAGATGAGCCAATTTTGGATGATCTCAGAGCTCCCTATTTATATCCTTGTTTTAGTATTTATTTTGTTATCTGGCAACAATTTGGTACTTGCCTGTCATCTTCAAAAGATAGTGGAAGAGAGGAATTTTTGCCTTATTCATCAAGATCCCAGATTCCATCCTTATCATTGCTATCCTCACAGCCCCCCTAATCACTCCTACTTATTCAATGATGACATTAACAACCACATCACAATGTCTACACCAGGTTCTGCTGGCATACGGGTATCTTCAATGTTCATTAACTAATTCCTACTCTAACTCCTAGTCATCCAACTCCTATTCTCTTGGATCCATAACCACTTACTTCCCATTTTATACCCTAGAACTTGTTAATACCAACGTCCGCTACAAAAGCTCTAACTTTAGGCCTCAATGCTCTCATCTATAAAATAAGGAATCTGGCCAGAGAAGAATAATCCTGATTTCTCCAAAGCTTACCATGTACAGGAACTCCTACATAGGTATTACTGTTATGTCTACTTTACAGTCAATAAACTGAAGTTTTAAAAAGTTAAGAAGCCTCCCCAAGGTCCAAGGATACAAAACTAATGACTGGTAAATTCAGGGTTCAAATCTAGAGTTAGGAAACAGGCCGTACATCACTGCCTGAGCTCAGCCTCCCCTACTCATCTGACCCTGTCTGTGGAAAAAATGTTTTCCATGAAACTTAGGAACCAGGCCGCACAGCAGGTGGTGAACAGCAGGCCACTGCGTAAAGCTTCATCTGTATTTATAGCTGTTCCCAGTTGCTTGCATCACCGCCTGAGCTCCATCTCCCTCTACTCCCACCCTCCCCCCCAATGGAAAAACTGTCTTCCATGAAACCGGTCCCTGGTGCCAAAAAGGTTGGGGACTGCTACTTTATAAGTCCTATATGGGGCATTTCTAGCTTAAACATTCTGTAAGTTCACTGAAAAAGGCATAAGCTAAAGTATAGACTGAGTACTATACTTATTAACTATAATGACGAATTGTTAGATTAATGTTTCTTAGAGTGATAACTGTTTCTATTTTAAAGTGATTTATACAAAAATGTTTCTCATGTTAGTCTGAAATGAATTACTAAAGAAAGAAATGTAGAAAGTTCCTTAACAATAGAACAAAAATTGAAACATACTCACAAGCTCTCCATAACGTGCAGTTGAAATCCTACATGGAAGAAAATTCCCTGTGTTGCTGAAACATAATCCCCCTGTCTTCATAAATAAATAAGGGAAAAAATACTTAAGTTATAAAAAGTTATAAGCAATTGAATTTATAAATATATTCTTTATCAATTTGATTAGCTTACTAAAATGTTAGGTTCAGAACATGCACAGGACTTGGTGGTATTAATGAATGTTGGTTCACATCGGATGCACCTGTTCAAAATAGTAAAAATAATTTTTGAAATGTTAATAAATTATACTAAACCTAATAGAGTAATAAAGAACTTGTCTTCATAAAATGATGGATTAGAATACGTTCATTCTAAGCAATTACTTAAATATATTAAACAAATTTTAAATATTTTTTTTTCCAGATGAATTGGTGTAGGATACAAATTTTAAATATTAACACTGATTTGAATACTTTTATATCACTCTGTGTTATAAGGCAAAGTGTAAGGAAGTAAATCTAACCAATAATAGAAGAATATTTTTTAACTACATGAAAAATACAGAATGAATAATACTGAATAGCAAAGATGGTTAAGTCACTCAACTAGCGAAAGAGCCCAAGAAATTCATATAAATGAATCCCAATTTTTACAAGTAATTATATCAAATATGCTTTCTTCACTTTATCTACCACAATGTAAAAAAGGCAGCATAAGCTGAAAAGATACTTATATCAAGCTCCTCATCAAATCTATAACCAACACTTTTAAATAAAATCTATCATCTTAGGAAAGAAAATACTTTATACCTTTCATTAATGAATGAGATAGAGGGAGGGAGGGCACTAGACTAGTGGATACTGATGAATGAATAAATATATGGGTATTCATTACTTGCAAGATATAGCAGGTAGGAGTGGAGCTAGGGCATGACATAAAACTCAGACTAGACTTGGAGAAGTATTAGAGGGACAAACTTGGGACTCAGCTTTGTAGTCAGCATTATGATGCTATAACTCGGGTCAGTCTCAGAGAAAAGATGCTCCAACACTAAGTATCCCAAGGAGAAGCTGCTTGTCTATTTTCTATATTAAATTTGGGAATTAAAGAGAAAACTGTGCTTAGAGGGAAGTCATCATGTAGGCCTCTAAGAAAATTGAAGAAGCTGAAATACGTATATGTTTAAGTCAGAGGGGTGCAGGGAGAGGTGTGTGTTTGTGTGTCTGTGTGCACAAGTATGTGTATAAAGAGGGAGCAGGAAGCAATAGAAAACAGGACTATAAATCAGGGTACCTGGGTTAGTATAATTATTATTTTATTTATTAATGTTTTTCTATATAACATTATATTAATAATATATAAAGGTTTTATCATAGTAGCTGGCACATATTATAAAACAAAAACAGCTACCTTTTACTGAGTGGTTAGCATGTAGCACCATGCTGAGAAGTTTACATATTTATTTCTGAGCCATTACAGCCTATGAAGTGGGTGGTATATTCCTATTCTACAGACAAGGGACTGTGACTTATTGAGCTCTCCAAAGTCAAACAACTGATAAACTGAGCCCACATCTGAACCCTATTCTGTCTCATACTCTAGGCTTCAGCTTCTTTGTCTGTCAACGTCTACTTCTATCCTTCTTTGGGTTATTGTAAGGTGCCAGTAATAGGATAGGAAAATACTTTTTAACAGTACAGATTGTACATAAATATAAGATGATAGAAATGAAGTCAGCCCCTACCACATTGCTTACCTGTTTCCTAAAGCATTTGGTACTGTAAAAGAGTCTTCCCTTTCATTACAGAGCTCACAAGTTGCTTCAGACAACAACATCCCATTAACATCTCTTTCCACTAAACAATTTAGAAACAAAATTAAGATGTAACTTGTAGTGAATGTATATTTTCTATATGCTTACAAAATATTTAATAAAACTCACTTATAACTATTACACTAATAATTATCAAAACACCTTTTTTTGCAGTAAAGGTATGTCAAGTATCTCCATAATAAAGTAGAGAAAAGTGAAGCCTTCCCCATGCCCACATAATAAAATACAGGAACTAATTGTCCAAGTCATCATAATAATAAATGAACATTTTTTTCTAAAAAATTACCTATATGTTCCTGTCACACTGGGATGGAAGTATTTTCATAGATTACTGATAATTTTCAGTAACTTAGAGGGCTTTTAGTAGTATTTATTAAAGTTTTAAATTCATATACCCCAAAATGCTACTTCATTTGTAGATACCTAACCTACAGAAACACTTGTACATGTGTATAAGGATATTTATCAAAGCATTATTTATTAGAAGACAAGCTGAATATCTAAAATAGCAGAATGGTGGTATATACATGCTATGAAATACTATGGAAAAGATGAAGAAGGATCAGGTAGATATAACAAATCATATCATTAACTGAAAAAAGTATGCTATAGAACAGTATCTGTGGTATAAACTTTTTCTTTTTTTTTTTTTTTTTTGCAGACAGGGTCTCATTCTGTTGTTGCCCAGGCTAGAATGCAGTGACATTATCATAGCTCACCACAACCCCAAAATCCCAGGTTCAAGCAATCCTCCTGCTTTAGCCTCCCAAGTAACTGGGACTACAGGTATGTGCTACCACACCTGGATGATTTTTTTATTTTTTGTAGAGACTGTGTCTCCCTATGTTGCTCAGGCTAAATGATATGAAACATTTATGAAAAAATACTACTTATATTTCCTGGCGCTACAATGTAGATCCTTATAATAAAATGGAAAAAAATTCTGAAAGGACACCTCTCCCCTCAAATGACAACAATTGCTTTAGGATTGAGGGAGCAATACAGAATCAGCATGCAGAAAAAAAGGTCAAAGAAGACCTTAGTCTTATCCATAGTGTTTTGCACAGTGGTAAGAGATAATTTTAACAAAAGTAAAGGTGAACAACTTGTTCCCCTATAGTCATCCTTGTCTCAGTAAATGGCAACTCCATTTGATCTTTACTCAGGCCCCAGTCCATAGAGTATCCTGTTCTCAGGATTCACGTTAAAAAAAAAAAAAAATATAAAAATTTTTGAAAACCCCTACAAATCCTATCAGCTCTCTCTTCAAAATATATTGAGAAACAAAATTATTTTCTCTACCTCTACAACTAATGCCCTGGTCCAAGTACCATCTTCTATCACCTGGGCTTTTGTAATAGATTCCTAACTGGAGTGCTAGTTTTATGCTCCATGCAGAAGCTATTGTTAGCCTTTCAAAACCTAAATGTGATGACGTCACTCCTCTGCTTAAAAACTTCCAAATGGCCTCCCATCTCACATGGTAATTTCCAAGATCACTATCATAGTCTAAAGGCCTCATATGACGATCTGCACACCATCACCCCCAACTTTTCCGAGACATCTGCTTCCATTTTCCTCCTCCTCTGCTTCAGTCACATTGACATACTTGCTATTCCTTGAAAATGCCAAATATGCTCACATCTTAGAACCTTAGTACTTATTATTCCCTCTGCTTAGAATGATGTTCCCAGTCATCCTCATGACTCTGTTCCTCACCTCTTTCAAGTCTTTGCTCAGACGCCACCTTTCCAGAGAGGACTTCCATGATCATCCATGTAAAAATAATACCCTACTCCCTCTCTCTTGTCCTGCACTATGGAGAATTTTAAGTAAGTAATAGTAACCTCTAAAATAACAAGATACTGTGTTTTCATAGTTGTCACCTGACCTTCAGGGGTCATTAGATGTCAGAGCCACTATTTAGAGAAAGTAGCAAGAAAATTTTGCTTCCCTTTGCTTCTGATCCACAGATATTTTGAAAGCACCTAATAGGCAGGGAATAAAGAATTACAAGGTAAACAATAATGTGGCTAGAGAAATAGAAACATGACTTGAATGGTTAACTACACACAATTTCAAAGTAGTTTTTATTCTTCCAGTGACCAACTGGCTTACGCACATGGCCAATACCAAGTGTACTTGTATTGATGATTTATTTTCTCTTGATATACGTGCTGTCCAGTATGGTTACTGTTCAATATGTCCACTAGTCACTTGGTAACCAAGCACTTGAAATGTGGCTAGTCAAAATTGAGATTTCAAAGATAGTAAGAGCAAAAGAATGAAACTATCTCAATGATTGTTTAGCTTGATTACATGTTGAAATGATGATATTTTAAATAATATTAGGCCAAATAAATTATTAAAAATCATTTCTCCTGTTTCTTTTTTTTAATGTGTAGACAAGACAATTAAAAATCATTTATTTTGTTTGCACTGTATTTCTATTAGACAGCATTGCTTTATATAAATGGTAGCACATTTTTCCTTAAGAGTTTTTATTTCAAATTTATAAATAAGTCTGATTTACTTTTATCTTCCTATAATCCTAAAATTTTATAGTAGAAATAGCATATTATGAAATGTAATAAATTTAAAAATGCCATCTAGCTAATGAAATTTTCATTAGCTCCATCCCTAAGAAAATACCCCAAAAATACTGTGAGAATAAAGTTAATCTTTTCAGTAGAGGCAACAGTGCTGATAAAAATACTAAAAGTCAGTGGGTAATTAAGGTACAAATGTAACTTTAAAACCATTTAAATGTCTATCAAGCTAAGGTTCCCAAGCCAAGGCAGGTAACGGCCTGGTTATCCTTAAGTCTGAGGGCTAAGGGGTAAAATCCATCCACTCACTGCCTCCACTCCCCTGCCACTCAGTCTTCCAAAACTCCCTGACATCTAGCTTCCATTCTCAGCAACTCACTGAAACAGCAATGTTAGCACTAGTGATTCCTGACTACCAAAAGTAATCTCAGTAACTCAGTCCTTACTGACCTCTCCACAGCATTTGAATCTATGGTTCATCATCACCTTCATCCTCACTTAGAAATCTCAGAGATATTTCTGACTTTTCCCTTTTCGTCCTCTCTCTATATTCTCATTCACCTGTATCTATTATTTTTTTTAATGTTTCTAGCATCTACTCCTTTGTGTAAAATTCTGCCCTAACTCTGGTTCAGATCCCCTTGCACAGTTCCCTCTCCTGGTATTCCACTCCTTAAATGTCAACTCTACGAGGGCAGGGACTTTGGGGTATTCCATTCAATCTTTTATCCCTAGTACCCCTAGACAATGCCTGGCACAAAGCAGGAGTTCAGTAAATATTTGTTGGATGAATGAATGCCATAGATGGCTGTAGATTAATCTTAATCATTCCTCATTCAAAACGTTTCATGAACTTCTCTTGCTTGTAGACCATCCTACTGTTTAAGGCCATCCATAATCTTGACCAATGTACTTTTAAATTCAGCAAACTGCTATTCTCATAATCCCTTCACACTCAACATGCATATACATGTTTGTCATAACACCCTTGCTCATGCTGCTCCTTCTGGTTAGAATGTTCTCTTTCTTGCTACCTTTTGAAATTCCATCAATCCCTCAACGCTCAGTTATTACACTGCCTCCTCATGGCAACCTTCTTAAACAAAGGTTGATTGAAGTTAGCTCTTCCTAACAGAGCATTTATTGCCTATGGTACTCATTTGATGATTTAACATATGTACCCTTTGTGAAAGTATTTTATTGTTATATTGTTCTGCCAATTACTTTTTTTTTTTTTTTTTTTTTGAGACAGAGTCTCGCTTTCTTGCCTAGGCTAGAGTGAGTGCCGTGGCGTCAGCCTAGCTCACAGCAACCTCAAACTCCTGGGCTCAAGCGATCCTCCTGCCTCAGCCTCCCGAGTAGCTGGGACTACAGGCACAAGCCACCATGCCCGGCTGATTTTTATATATATATATATATTAGTTGGCCAATTAATTTCTTTCTATTTTTATGGTAGAGACGGGGTCTCACTCAGGCTGGTTTCGAACTCCTGACCTTGAGCAATCCGCCTGCCTCGGCCTCCCAGAGTGCTAGGATTACAGGCGTGAGCCACCGCGCCCGGCCTGCCAATTACTTTTTCATACACATGTCCTGTCTTCTAATTAGATTTTAAATAATTTGACTGTAGGAATTTTTGTTCCATTAAAAAATTAATGTTTGTGCTGGGCATGGTGGTACACATTTACAGTGCCAGCTACTCAGGAGGCTGAAGTGGGAAGATTGCTTGAGCCCAGGAATTCAAATCCAGCCTGGGCAATACAGTGAGATCCTATCTCTAAAAAAATAAGTAAATAAAAGTTTTTAAAAATCAAAAAAAAAAAATCCATCTTCCGAGCTAGCAAAAAAGAAATAAACAAGAAATAAAATGAATGTTCAAAAAATTATAAATTTTCAAAAAAGCCAAAAAAATAATTTTTGAATAAGTAATATATAAAGTATAAATAAAAGGCATAAAAGGATTTAAGATGTAAATGAAGTCTGCTTCCCACTCCTACTCCCAGGCACTCAATTCTTCACTCTTATTACCAGTTTCTTATGAATCCTTCCAGAAATAGGCTATGCATATATTAGCACATATGTATATATAATCTTCTTTAAAAAGTATAAATAGTAGCATATAAAATAGATAGAACAGTACTGATAAATAGCAGGTACTCAGTAAATATCTGTTAAAAAAAATTATACATAAAGTTGCTCAGATTGATTTGTGAGAGTATTTCCTTGTATCCAAGGAATTAACATTAATAGTTTTTGAATGAACAAATTATTCTATATCTTGCTTTTTTACTCAGTATATCTTAGAGTTCTTTCTATAGTAATATGTATAGAACTGCCCTTTTTTTCTCCACAGTTGCATTCTATACCATTGCATAGATGTACCACAGTTTATAGAAGCAATCTCATCTTGATAAACTAGACTTTTACATTATTTATAATCATTGTCTTAGGAATAATGTTACAACAAAAAAAATTCATACATTTCTTCAAACATATAGTAAGTATATCTGAACAAGAAATTTCTAGATAAAGGTTTCCTGGGCAAAGATGACTGCATTTTAAATTTTGATAAATACTGTCTATTTGCTCTCCAATGAGACTATACCAATTTATAATTTTATAATAATATATGAATAACAATTTCTCTATATCCTTACAAATACATTGCCAAAGTTGAAAAAGTTTAATAATAAAGTCAGGTAGGCTAAAAATAAAATCTCATTTTAGCATTAATTCACATTTTCTTACTCCAAGTAAGGGTGATCATTTTTTTTTTTCATCTTAAAATATTTTTTTCTCTGTGGCTTTATTTATGATTTTTGGCTATTTTTTAAATTGGGTTATTCATCTTCTTTATTTGTAGGAGCTTCACATAGATTGAAGAACTTACATCTCTATTGTATAAATTATATATTTTTCTTTAGTTTATAGTTTGGTTTTGGTATTATAATTTTTATGGCATTTTAAAATTTTTATGTAGTCAATTTTACTAATTCTTCTTTCTACAGCTTCTGAGTTTTTTTGTTTATACTTAGAAAGGCCTATTACAGACCAAGGTTATACAAATTTTTCCTACATTTTAAGAACTTTCATGGATTCATATTTAATATTTAAATATTTGATTCATTTGGAACTTAATTTTCTTTAGGAAATAAGGTAGAAATCCAACATAGTGTTTTCTCAGTTCTCCCAGCACCATTTATTAATCAGTCTTATCCTCACTTATATAAAAATGTCCCTTTTTTTCACATATAAAATTGAATCTATTTTGATTCTCTGTTTCAAGTCTCATCAATCAGTTTGTGTATCCATATGCCAGGCATATATGTTATTATAGTAGATATAAAATATGCATAATATCTGATAGGGTAGTTCCCTCTTTCCTTTCTCAGAATTTTCTTGGCTTTCATATATTTTCCTGATAAATTTTAGAATCTGTTTGTGTATTCCTCCAAACAAGCAAAATCCTAGAATTTACTAGGATCCCTCTAAATATACAGTCTGGGAGAGAGTTGACATCTTTCTAACATTTAATCTTCCCATTCAAAAGTGAAGAATGTATTTTCATTTATTAAAGACTGCCAGCCAGGTATGGTGGTTCACACCTGTAATCCCAGCACTTTGGGAGGCCGGGGCAGGAGGATGACTTGAGCCCAAGAGTTCAAGACCAACCTGGGCAAAATAAGTGAGAACCTGCCTCTACAAAAAAAAAAAGCAAAAACTATTAAGTAATCAACAAATTATTTAAATTAATGTCCCTTTCAAAAACAATCACAATGAAGATTTGTCACTACTATTGTATAAAGAATCTAATTCTTACCTAAAATATGACCAGTGGGACAGTAGCATTTTCCTTCTGCAGTTAAGCCATGGGGGCAAGAAATGCAGTTCCAGCCATCTTTAGTAACACCTTTCTAAATTAAAAAAAAAAGAATTTTTTTCCTTTTAATTAACTTTCTTCTTCTTAGTTGATCATGTAAGTTCAAAAAGCTGTAACAGTATATAAGTTGCAGTTAATATTCAAATAAATCAAACATATGAGCCACATAAAAATTCCCTGGATAGCCAATTCATGCTTATATTCCAAAATTAAGCTATATATTATTACTATGTACTGACTACTGTTAAAGAATTAAGTTTTGCTAATAGTTCTTGCTTCTTCCTAATCTTTAGTTCAAATGGATTCTTACTTTCAGAATTAATTTTGTTCAATATTTCCATTTATAAATATAAAACTCAACAGGATTGAACCAATAGAGCCAGCTAATAGTTTATAGTCTTACCTGTTCTGAAATAATCAAATTTTTAAAAATTCAAATATATTAGCTTTTAAAAATTTATGATTGAAAATGAGTGATTTTTATAGTATATAAATTATACATAGGCTGGGTGTGGTGGCTCATGCCTGTAATCCTAGCACTCTAGGAGGCCAAGGCAGGAGGATCACTCAAGGTCAGGAGTTCGAAACCAGCCTGAACAAGAGCAAGACCCTGGTCTCTACTAAAAATAGAAAGAAATTAATTGGCCAACTGAAAATATATAGAAAAATTTAGCTGGGCATGGTGGCACATGCCTGTAGTCCCAGCTACTTGGGAGGCTAAGGCAGAAGGTTTGTTTGAGTCCAGGAGTTTGAGTTTGCTGTGAGCCAGGCTAATGACATGCCACAGAGTGAGACTGTCTAAAAAAAAAAAAATTATACATAAAGTTGCTCAGATTGATTTGTGAGAGTATTTCCTTGTATCCATTAATAGTTTGTACTAGGTAAAGGTTTTTTATAAAGTATGACATCATTCAAAATTGGCCTTATTATATTACATGGTTTAGGAAAAGCCTGAGGCAAAACATACAGTAATTATAAACAGTTATAACCAAAATTAATAGAGAACAATGGCAAAAAACAAAATAATGCCTCAAATTATTTTAAATTTTGGTTAAAAAAGACTGGATTTATCAAGAAATGCTCCTATATTTGGCAATACATTTATATAGGACTATTTAAAAATTACAATAGCAATTGAGCATAGTGGCTTGTGCCTGTAATCCTAGCACTCTAGGGGACCAAGGTGGGAGGATCACTTGAGGCCAGGAGTTCAAAACCAGAGTGAGCAACATAGGAGACCCCATCTCTACAAAAAAAAAGAAAAATTAGCTGGTAGTGGTAGCCCATGCCAGTAGTTCCAGCTACTTAGGAGGTTGAGACAGAAGGATTGCTTGAGCCCAGGAGTTTGAAGTGGCAGTGAGCTATGAGGATGCCACTACTCTCTAGCCAGGGCAACTAAGTAAGACCTGGTCTCAAAAATAAATAAATAAAATAAAATAAATAAAAATTACAACTGCTTAAGCAATGTCACTGAAAAATAAATCTGCTATGATACAATTTTTATTAGCAGCTTTTTATCATCAGTAATTCAGCTAGGACCAATATTTGCAAAAATATAAATATCAAAATGGTAACCAGGCCGGGCGCTGTGGCTCACGCCTGTAATCCTAGCTCTTGGGAGGCCGAGGCGGGCGGATTGCTCAAGGTCAGGAGTTCAAAACCAGCCTGAGCAAGACGGAGACCTCCGTCTTACATAGAAGTACAAAGAAATTAATTGGCCAACTGATATATATATAAATTAGCCGGGCATGGTGGCGCATGCCTGTAGTCCCAGCTACCCGGGAGGCTGAGGCAGAAGGATCACTCGAGCCCAGGAGTTTGAGGTTGCTGTGAGCTAGGCTGACGCCACGGCACTCACTCTAGCCTGGGCAACAAAGCGAGACTCTGTCTCAAAAAAAAAAAAAAAAAAAAAAATGGTAACCAGATCTACAAGTAATACAAGTAGCTGTAAATCAGGCAAACTGATTTAACTTTACATTAAATACCCAGAATTAATTTTTGTTAATATGACAATGAGAAGAAACATTACTGTAAAAGTCAGAACTGTCACTCGGAGATTCCTATCTAAAATGTTTGTAAAATGTATTTCTGTTGGCCGGGCGCGCGGTGGCTCACGCCTATAATCCTAGCTCTCTGGGAGGCCGAGGCGGGCGGATTGCTCAAGGTCAGGAGTTCAAAACCAGCCTGAGCAAGAGCAAGACCCCGTCTCTACTATAAATAGAAAGAAATTAATTGGCCAACTGATATATATATAAAATTAGCCGGGCATGGTGGCACATGCCTGTAGTCCCAGCTACTCAGGAGGCTGAGGCAGTAGGATCGCTTGAGCCCAGGAGTTTGAGGTTGCTGTGAACTAGACTGACGCCACGGCACTCACTCTAGCCTGGACAACAAAGCAAGACTCTGTCTCAAAAAAAAAAAAAAAAAAAAATGTATTTCTGTTAATTGAGAATATCATATGTAGTAGCTATAAATTCATAACTTCCCAAAAGTATTATACAATGAAATGAGTAACAAAACAGCAACAGACATTCTAACTTTTTATTACATAATTATCACATTTAGATATCATTATGAACTCAATCATCATATAAAACTGCTCCACAGTAGGTATAAGACACTGAACTCAATTTGTACCAGTAAAAGGACATATATCCCAAATTGCACTACAAAACATTCTTCATCTAATTTTCTTTATAACTGAGTTATTCTATGAGGAAAAACAAAACACAAATTTTAGTGTTGGTTTTTTGGATTCAGATTTAAAAGAAATAAATTTGTGTGTTTCTAAGTTCTACATGAAATTCACTGATCCATCAAAATTTACTCTAGTAAAAATAAAGTTAGGTTAATAATTTAAAGTTTGTGGGAATGTATTAGAGTAAACATGTTGCAGTTGAACAATAAAAACATTTAATTTATTACTTTTTAAGTAAAGTTGTTTTCTAAAAAATTCTCAATACCTGTCTTCTGGCACTTTTACAAATAATAGCAGGTCTTCCATTACTAGAGAGGCTTCAAATCCTGGCAGACATACACATGAAGTTCCTAAAAAAACAAAAAAAAAAACAAACAGAAGGAAAGCCAATTTATCCTTAGTAAATAAAAATAAAACTCCAAGATAGGAAAACTTTTAATAATTCTAACGATTTTGAGAAGCATGTGGGGGTTAAGAGTAAGACTCTGCAGCCAGTACTGCCAGGATCCAATACAGCAACATAACTCCTTGGGTTCCAATCTTAGTCCTACTTGGCAGTGTGACCTTGAGCAAGTACTAAACTTCTTTGCTCCTTGACTTCCTCTACAGTAAAATGGAGAAAGTAACAGTACTTATTCTGACAGTGTATTATGAGTAATAATTAGTTATTATATGTAAAGGTCATAGGGGAGTGTCTGGAATACAGCTGGCATTGTGTTGTTACCATTTTAAGAGCAAGCATAACTAAACTATTAAACTATTTAACTGCTATGGGAAATTTTACATTTCTATGTCACTATATAATATAATTCAATGAATTCACTTTGTCATACTCTAACTAGGAAAGTTACTGTCATTCAAATAAGTCACTGTTTCCCTCTGTTGTGACAGATAATAAACACTGTAAGACAATCACTATTCAATCTGCTAGACAGGTAAGGACAGCATTCTCTAAGAGCCATTAAAGGAAATAGCACCCATAGCGTCTTACATGGTACAATGTAGGTAATATCTGGATTCATAATTATGGAACTAATACCTTACATTTTACAGTGTGAAATGCTTTCCATTCATACTGCTTTACCTGCACAGACTGACCGTGTCCTGTTCCATTCACTTAAATGAGTATATATCAAATCTGATGATGGCAGAAAGTTAATAACATGGGTGATCAAATAGAGATGGAAAACATTTTAGACTTTAAATATGGGAACACTTGCATTTCAGTGAGAACTAGGACCACATAATGGACGTTTGGGAGAAAAAATCAAGCTTAATCTAAGGAGATTTAAGAGCAATTAATATATTCAACAATAAAGGAATAAGTCCTAAGGAAACATATAATATTGGACATCGTATGAGAGAAATAGGTCAACATTGAGCAAAGAGACAGGAATTCTTCCAAGTCCCAATTTAGGTGGCACATAAGACGTTGCAACTTCATCTGGCTTCAATTTCCTTATTGTACAATGGAATACTGAACCTGATCATGATTAAGGTTCTTTCCAGCTCTAAATTTCTGGCATTCGAAAAGCAATATAAAGCTAACAAAGTTTACAGTGTTATTTGTATTTCCTCCCTAAACCTTTCCTGTCACTTGTTCTTCTTCACCTCAGATACTTTTTACTATTCTTTTATTTTCCATAGACAGATTTACAGGTACCTCCTAACCATCCCCATTCCAAGGGGAGTGCAGAACTGCCGCTGAGAATTAATTACTGGCGGATGGCTCACAGATAGAGGACTCAGGTCCCCAATTTCATTAGTATCAAGCTGCAATCCTCCAAGGAAACTCTTTTCTCAGGCGTCAGAGTTTAAACTTTCTGAACATTCTCCCGCAGACAGAAGGTTTTCAATGATCCAGGGACTGGGGGCAGACCAAGGCGGAGTGTTTCTTTGCTAGGCCACCTCAGTCTCACCTCGGCATCCTGCCTCTGGTTGGCTCCACACGGGACAACAGGAAAGCACAGCAGATATCGAAGTAGTGGTGAGGTTCGCATCTCCGGCTGCTGGAAAGGGAAGGAGAAGTCTGGCCTGTGAGACGCGAGAAAAGAACAACAGGAAGAACGCAATCACAGCCCAACTGATAAAATGGACCAAACCGCCATTGCTATCGGAGTCCTACCGCGCGTCGCATGGTACCGACTGGGCAGCTGCACTGACTGTAGCGTCCCATCAGCCTCTGCGGCGATTCCGCTGAGCTGATTGGGCAATCCAAGCCTGGGTTCCGGAAGTCACCGCCTGCTGCTGTTTGTTGCTAGGTTAGAAACCGCCGCCGGGAAGCTGGTGGTCGCCAGGAAAGGATGACCAGGCAAGGCCACCTGAAGCCTGGGCAA